ATACATAGCCATCACTCAGGTAACTCGTCCAACTCTTGGGACAGTTTCAGCTTCATTTCATTTACTTAATTTTTTGAGACAAGAGTGAAACTCTTGTCTCAAAAAATTAAGTGCAATGGCACTATCACTGCAACCTCTGTCTCCCCTTAAAGTGATTCTCCTGCCTTAGCCTCCCAAGTAGCTGGGATTACAGGCTCCTGCTACCACACCCAACTGATTTTCACATTTTTAGTGGAGACGGGGTTTCACCATGGTGGCCAGGCTGGCCTTGAACTCCAGACCTCAGGCGATCCGCCCCCTTCAGCCTCCTAAAGTACTGGAATTACAGGCGTGAACTACCACGGCTGGCCTAGTTTCAGCTTCTGAACCTTTCAGGAACCAACCAAGAAACCCATTCACAGCTCCCCAGCCTCTTAACTCCAGTGAGGGTTATCCACAGCATAGGGGAAAGCTCTGATGACCTACAAAAAAACACTGATACCCTACTACTTTAAAAAATTTTTAATGTAATTTTTAACGGTTTTTTTTTTTCTTTTTAAAGATGGGGTTTCACCATGTTGGTCAGGCTGGTTTTGAACTCCCAACCTCAGGTGATCCACCTGCCTTGGCCTCCAAAGTGCTTGGACTACAGGCGTGAGCCACCACACCCAGCGTTTTTTTTTTTGTTTGAGACGAACTCTTGCTCTGTCACCAGGCTAGAGTGCAATGGCACGATTTCGACTCACTGCAATTCTCCTGCCTCAGCCTCCCAAGTAGCTGGGATTACAGGCATCTGCCACCACACCCAGCTAATTTTTGTATTTTTAGTAGAGACAGGGTTTCACCATGTTGGCCAGGATGGTTCAGAGCTTTTGACCTCGTGATCCACCCACCTTGGCCTCCCTAAGTGCTGGGATTACAGGTATGAGCCACTGTGCCTGGCCAATTTTAAATTTTTTTATTATAAATTGACAAATTATAATTATATACATTTATGAGATATAAAGTGATGTTATGCTATGTGTATACAGTGCGGACTGATTAAATCAAGCTATTTAACCTATGCAGCACCTCAAATGTTTATTTTTTTTTTCTTTTTTGAGATGGGGTCTCACTCGTCACCCAGGCTGGAATGCAATGATGTGAACAGAGTTCCCTGTAGCCTCACCTTGCTGGGTCAAACAATCCTCTTGCCTCAGCCTCCCTTGTAGGTGGGATACAGGCATGTACCACTGCCCCTGCCTAAGTTTTCTATTTTATTTTGTAGAGACGGACTCTTGCCATGTTGCCCAGGTTTACATATCAGTTTTTGTAGTGAGAACATTTGAATTTTATTCTCAGCAATTTTGTGTATTTTTCCGTTTTTTTCTTTACATTTTTCTTTTGTTTTTTTTTTTGAGACAGAGTTTTGCTCTTGTCACCCAGGCTGGAGTGCAGTGGCGGGATCTTGGTTCACCGCAACCTCCACCTCCCAGGTTCAAGTGATTCTCCCATCTCACCCTCCCGACTAGCTGGGATTACAGGTGCATGCCAGCACTCTGGCTAATTTTTGTATTTTTAGTAGAGATGGGGTTTCATCATATTGGTCAGACTGGTCTCGAACTCTTGACCTCAGGTCATCTGCCCGCCTGGCCTCCCAAAGTGCTGGGATTACAGGCATGAGCCATTGTACCTGGCCTGCAAAATGTATTTCTTAGGTGAGTTGTGGCTAAAACATTTTAAAGACATTGTTCTAAATTAATGGTCTTCGAACTTTGTTTTCATGTTTATCATTTTTAGTTGCAAAGGATTTCATATGAATTGTAAACATTAGCATATTAAATAAAACTCTTAAAAGTATCTCTATGTAGTGATTTCTAGGTCTGTCATCATTCATTCAAAAAATACATAAGTCAGTCACAGTGGCTCATACCTGTAATCCCAGCACTTTGGGAGGCCAAGGTGGGCATATCTCCCCGTCTAGGAATTTGAGACTAGCCTGGGCAACATGGGGAAACCCCATCTCTTCAAAAAATGGAAAAATTAGCCAGTTGTAGTAGTGCACATCTGCAGTCCCAGCTACTTGGGAGGCTGAGGTGGGCAGAGCACCTGACCCTGGGGAGGTTGAGGCTGTAGTGAGCTGTGATCGTGCCAGAGCACTCCAGACAGGATAATAGAGCAAACCCTGTCTCAAAAAATAAAAAAAAAATGAGCAAGTTTTTTTTCTTTTCTTTTTTTTTTGAAGTAGGGCCTTGCTCTGTTGCTCAGGCTGGAGAGCAGTAGTGCAATTATAGCTTGACCCATTTGGGCTTAGGTAATCCTCCCAAATAGCTGGGACTAAAGGTGTGTGCCACAACACCCTGCTAGTATTTTGTTTTTTGTAGAGATGAGGGTCTTGCTATATTTCCCAGGCTGGTCTCTAACTCCTCAGCTCAAGCAGTCTTCCTGCCTCGGCCTCCCAAAGTGCTGGGATTACAGTCAGGAGCCACTGTCTGTCTGGCAATATAATTATTAGTATACAATTAATCAAAGGTAGTATATATATTAATAAACATAAAAATCAAAATTTTATTGAAGGCATAATTTTTTTTTTTTGAGACAGGGTTTTGCTTTTTTGCCCAGTCTGAAGTGCAATGGCACGATCTCGGCTCACCACAACCTCTGCCTCCTGGGCTCAAGCAATTCTCCTGCCTCAGCCTCCCGAGAAGCTGGGATTACAGGCATGTGCCACACACCCAGCTAATTTGTATTTTTAGTAGAGACGGGGTTTCTCCATGTTGGTCAAGACGGTCTTGAACTCCCAACCTCAGATGATCCACCCACCTCAGTCTCCCAAAGTGCTGGGATTACAGGCGTGAGCCACCGCACCCAGCTGAAGGTATAATTTTTAATGGGACTGAGCATTTATTTTTTCAATTAATTAATCTGTTCATGAATGAATATTGTTATTGCTAGAATGAGAGATTTAGCATCAACTGTTACTATTTTTCATTTTCTTTAAGAGACTTGTTCTCACCATGTTGCTTGCAGTAACGTTGCCCAGGCTCGCCTCTAACTCTTGGACTCAAGATCCTCACTTCACCTATCCCAAATAGCTGGGACGGGCATGCATCACCACATCCAGCATATTTCATTTTTATAGATGTAAGAGCAGACAAGTTTTGTTTACATAAATTAGCATCTCCCCACCCATGATTTACTGAAGCAATGGAACTCAACTCTTTGAGCTCCTTCAAAATGCTACGTCAGGGCGGGGCGCAGTGGCTCACACCTGTAATCCCAACACTTTGGGAGGCCAAGGCTGGCGGATCACCTGAGGTCAGGAGTTCAAGACCAGCCTGGCCAACATGGTGAAACCCCATCTCTACTGAAAATACAAAAATTAGCTGGGCATGGTGGCAGGTGCCTACAATTCCAGCTATTCAGGAGGCTGAGGCAGGAGAATCCCTTGAACCCAGGAGATGGAGGTTGCAGTGAGCCAAGACCACGCCATTGCACTCCAGCCTGGGGAACAAGAGTGAGACTCCATTTCAAAAAAAAAAATTAAACGCCAAGCTAGCACAGTGCCATGAACTAGCAGTACCAGCTACTTGGGAGGCTGAGGTTTAAGTGCCAAGCTAGCACAGTGACATGAGCTAGTAGTACCAGCTACTTAGGAGGCTGAGGTTGCAGGAGCCTTGAGCCCAGGAGTACAAGTCCAGCCTGGGTAACAGAGTGAAACCAGGTGACTTCAAAAAAAAACATGTAGGTACCACTCAGGGTTCAATCCCCAGACCACTGGCATTTGAAAGCAGTGTGACAAATGTGTTTCATATTGCTGGGGTCATCAAATCCATTTAGTACGTCACTAATAGCATGAAAAAAAGACATAATACAAAGTCCAGAATGTTTCATAAATCTTTTCCTTCAATTAGAAATCATGTGTAGCCGGGGGCGGTGGCTCACGCCTGAAATCCCAGCACTTTGGGAGGCCGAGGCGGGTGGATCACGAGGTCAAGAGATCGAGACCATCCTGGTCAATATGGTGAAACCCCGTCTCTACTAAAAATACAAAAAATTAGCTGGACATGGTGGCGCATGCCTGTAATCCCAGCTACTCAGGAGGCTGAGGCAGAAGAATTGCCTGAACCCAGGAGGCGGAGGTTGCGGTGAGCCGAGATAGCGCCACTGCACTCCAGCCTGGGTAAACGAGCGAAACTCCGTCTCAAAAAAATAAAAAAGAAATCATGTGTATACTGGGTCATTGTATTTCTCTGACAACTCAGTTAGGTCCTTCTTTAATTTTGTTGAAAACAAGTCATTAGAACCAATTGAGAAATCAGTACCTACATATTTTCCATGGCATCCAGTGGCCTAGAGGTTCCTATACTATCCCTGGATACATCAAGTAAGATTAGACTGAGGATTGGCGAGGGATGCGCCGTTCTTGTGTAAAGCGGAAGAAGAGTGAATCGTTAGGCAATTTTTTTTTTTTTTTCTGAGGCGGACTTTCGCTCTCCTTGCCCAGGTTGGAGTGAAATCGCGCCATCTCAGCTCTCCGAAACCTCCATCTCCCGGGTTCAAGCGATTCTCCTGCCTCAGCCTCCCGAGTAGCTGGGATTACAGACATGCACCACCACATCTGGCTATTTTTGTATTTTTAGTAGAGACGGGGTTTATCCATGTTGGTCAGGTTGGTTTAGAACTCCTAACCTCAGGTGAACCGCCCACCTCGTCCTCCCAAAGTTCTAGGATTACAAGCATGAGCCACCGCGCCCTGCTCATTAGACAACTTTGTAGGATATAGGATCAACACTGGTGTCCTGAAAACGTTTCTGGCTGCAACACTGAGAGATTTGCATTCTCGAGTTCGGAGACCATGGCTTTTAAAGACTCCACTCACTCCAGTGATGCCAGCAACCAACTACTGTCGGTGACTTCGAAAGTTCGTACTTTCAGTCCACACTTCTTCCTTTCGTTGGGCACCACACTTGCCTACACTTGGAGTGCCCCGGCAGCCCCACCCCACCCCCCGCCCCGGGCTTCGCTTTCCGCCCCACACTAGGAAGCCACTAGCCACTTCTGGTGCCCACGCCGCTCCTCGGCTGCCCCGCCTGGGTCCTCCATCCTCGCCCCTGGAATCGGCCTCCCTAATTCCCTTCCCTCTGAAGGTCATTTGGAAACGGGCTCGAAGGCGCGACACTGCGTAGAAAACCAAATTCCATCCGGGGCGGGCAGGGAGTGATAGTCTCGAAGGAAGACGTTTCCCACGTCGGTAGTGAGGAGCGTTTGCGGCACAGCCAGCGCTCTCGAGGATCCTCTGCGCGGGGATAGCCAGTAGTAGCCTCGAAAACACGTCGCGTCCGTCCCTGGCTCGAAGGGTAGACCTCGAGGGAGCCCCACTAACCACCCAGCTTCCTCCGCCTTCCCCCAAACAGGGCAGGCGCGGGGGCCCAGCCCACCTCTGCCTGCGCGCCTGACCTTAAGGCGGGCGTGGAGTTGGGCTTTCTCAGGCAGACTGGGGACCCACCGCGGGCCTTTCCTGTTTGAAGATAACAGCGTCACACAGCAACTCGCGCGAGTCGAAAGGACTTCTCGCGATAAGTCCAGTGGTGGCCGTGATGGCGGCGGCGGGAGCAGGACCCGGCCCGGAAGCAGGTGCCGGGCCTGGCCCTGGAGCGGCCGCAAATGCAGCAGCCTCAGAAGAGGGGGAGACGAAGCCGATGGCAGTGGGAGCAGCCGCTCCTGGTGGAGAGGGGGCCTCTGCTGCTCCGACAGCTGAGCCCAGTTCAGGGGAGGCTGAAAGCGGGTAAGAGGTCCTGGGGCCGAGGAGGACGCGGGAGCGAGGCCAGTCCCTCCCGAATCCTGCGGCTCCTGGAGCCCTGCCCGCCCCCTGCGATCCTAGGCCCCGCCGCCAACGGCTCGCCCTGCCCCTGCGCTGCTTGGCCCGTCCCCTCTCTAATATATCTCGGTAACGCCCCTTCCGCACCTTTCTCGGGCGGTGGGGGCCGAGGATCCTGTCGTTATCTCTGACTCTTGCATTCCGGCAGGAAGCTGGTAGCCCACTCTTCTAACGGGAGCCCTTCACATGTCCCAGAAAAGAAACCACTTTGCAGTGCCAGACTGGAAGAAGTAACAGTCACTCTGAAAACAGGGTGGGAGAGCTGCCTCTCTTTGAACCTCTCCCAGGATCAACTCTAACCCAGGTAGATTTGTCTGTAAAGGTCGATTAGGCTTCCCTCTGCTCCCTAGGTCCACCGACTGTCTTGTCCACCTTCTTCTCAATATCCTAACAGTACCTTGGGCATCCAGTCTGAGAACAGGCTTAGCTGAAAAGCTGTAGGAGTGTGAAGTTCGGTTGTAATTTGATCATCATCTTTGGAAATAGGCATTTTGAGGTTTGTTTCTCTTGAAAATTCTTAATTGAGCGCTTTCATTATCTTGCAGGGATGCAAACTTGGTCGATGTAAGTGGTGGCTTGGAGACAGAATCATCTAATGGAAAAGATACAATAGTAAGTATTTCTTTTTAGTTGTTTGCAAGGCAAAACCATCGCTTTTAAATTTTTGAGCAAATCAAAAACAGGGCCGGGCGCGGTGGCTCACGCCTGTAATCCCAGCATTTTGGGAAGCCGAGGCAGGCGGATCACCTGAGGTCGGGAATTGGAGACCAGCCCTGATCAACTTGGAGAAACCCGTCTCTACTAAAAAAAAAATTAATCGGGCGAGGTGGCGGGTGCCTGAATCGCTTGAACCCGGAAGGCGGAGGTTGCAGTGAGCCGAGAGCCCGCCATTGCACTCCAGCCTGGAAAGCAAAAGCGAAACTCTGTCTCAAAGAAAAAAATACATTCAGGCCAGGCACAGTGGCTCATGCCTGTAATCCCAGCACTTTGGGAGGCTGAGGCAGGCAGATCACCTGAGGTCAGGAGTTGGAGACCAGCCCTGATCAACACGGAGAAACCCGTCTCTACTAAAAATACAAAATTAGCTGGGGGTGGTGGCGCATTCCTGAATCGCTTGAACCTGGAAGGCGGAGGTTTCCGTGTGCCGAGAGCACGCCATTGCACTCCAGCCTGAGCAACAAGAGCAAAACAACGTCTCAAAAAAAAAAAAAATACATTCGGCAGAGCACGGTGGCTGAAGCCGGTAGTCCCAGAATTTTGGGAGGCCGAGGCAGTTGGATCATGAGGCCAGGAGTTCGAGACCAGCCAGGCCAACATGGTGAAACCCCGTCTCTACTGAAAAATGCAAAAATTAGCCGAGGGTGGTGGTGGGAGCCTGTAATCGCAGCTACTCTGGAGGCTGAGGCAGGAGAATCACTTGAACCCAGGAGGTGGAGGTTGCAGTGAGCCGAGACGGCACCATTGCACTCCAGCCTGGGTGACAAAGCGAGACACTGTCTCCAAAAAAAAATGCATTCAGGTCAGGCACGGTGGCTCATGCCTGTAATCCCAACACTTTGAAAGGCTGAGGCCTGAGGATCATTTGAGACCAGCCTTGGCAACATAGAGAGACTCTCGTCACTTAAAAAAAATAAAAGTAAAATACGTTCACTTCAACTGATTTGATTTTTGAATTGCTCTGTGAACACAGGAAGGTGCTGGGGATACATCAGAGGTGATGGATACTCAGGCGGGCTCCGTGGATGAAGAGAATGGCCGACAGTTGGGAGAGGTAGAGCTGCAATGTGGGATTTGTACAAAATGGTTCACGGCTGACACATTTGGCATAGATACGTCGTGAGTACTTTTCTTAGTTTTTGTAAGAATTGTTCGGTAAAATAAATCTCAGGACGCTCAACAGTTAGTTTGTGGGCAAAATAAATGCAAAGGATTTCCTATGTCTTCTAACCCCTATTCAACAACTAGGATGTTGAATCAGGAATTGTTTAATTCCCTTAGTGTGTTATTTGCTTACTGAGGGCACAGCCCTGATAGATACAATGGTGAGTATTGTCCCACCTTTTGAGTTTACAACCCGGTTTGGAGACCAAAAAAATGCAATTACAAAGTGTTATATAAACAAATTTGGGACAATATAAACTTTGTGTGGGGGGTCTTGGATTTTTCAGAAAGGATTAGGGTATATGTGGACAAAGCCTGTTGTCCAAAATTTGAGACAACCCATGCTCTTTATGCCTGAACCATCCTTTTTTTATTTTTCATTGCCGCTGACTCATTCCTTGAAGTATCTTGTCAGCTCTCCTCAGCAAACCTATTTCCAATTGTGTACCTCTTCTAGTGTATTAAAATCATACTGTGATTGAGAATGAAATTTTTACCTTATACTGACTCACTGTCTATTGTGCTGCTCGCTCTCTGTAATGTTCGTTATGGTCTATATTATACTAATATATTTATATAAGACTATCTAAAAGTAAGGTTGCATTCTAAAATTAATCCACCTTGGGTAAGATTGGGAAGACACATATATATATATATATATATATATGTTTGCTTGTTGTTTTCTTGAGACCAGGGTTTGCTCTGTCACCCATGCTGGAGTGCAATGGCTGGATCACAGCTTGCTGCAGCCTCAAATTTCTGGGCTCAAGGGATTCTCCTGCCTCACCCTTCCCCAAAGTGTTGGGATTACTGGCTTGAGCCATCATACCCCGTTTTCTTTTATAATCTGTTGTATGCTTCCTAGTTAAAAAGTTAAGTGGGTTTTAGAAATGCTGATGTCTCAATTAACATGTGACTTGTGATTTAGGGAAGAGTGTTTTAAAAAAGAAAGAAAAATAGTGAAGGATCAGGAAGAAATAATTGATCTTGGTAGCAAGATCTGCTCAGAAAACACTAGCTAAGCAAGACTGGTCACTTAGAGAGGCCTAAGATAGGGCTATTTCAGCCAGAATTATTTGTTTGGATTGACAGAATTTAGGAAAGGAAATTTACTAGAGAGATAACTGGGAGGAATTCAGGAAATAATCAAATCACAATTAAAGTTTTGATAGCTTTGGAGAGAACAGTTTTTAACTGAATTTCAAAAGTTGTATCTAAAGCCCAGTTAGGTCCTATCCGTGTATCAAGTTTTAAAAAAAAAGCCAGCCCTGGTGGCTCACATCTGTAATCCCAGCACTTGAGGAGGGGAGGATCACTTGAACCAGGAGTTCAAGACCAGCCTAGGCAACATAGTGAGGCCTTGTCTCTATGAAAAATAGAAAAAATTAGCTGGGTTTGGTGGTGCACACCTGAAGTACCAGTTACTTGGGAACTTTTTGCAGGAGGATTACTTAAGCCCTGGAGGTTGAGGCTGCAGTGAGCCATGATTGTGTCGCTGCACTCTAGCCTGGGTGACAGAGTGAGACTCTGTCTCAAAAAAAAAAAAAAAAAAAAGTAGATAAATAGTTATTTGAATTCAAATACAAACAGGTGTGAAGCGCAGCCTTTTTCTTTTTCTTTTTTCCTTTTCAAGACAGAGTCTTACTCTCTTGCCAGGCTGGAATGCAATGGCACGATCTCGACTCACTGCAACCTCTACCTCCCCAGTTCAAGCAATTCCCCTGCTTCAGCCTCCCAAGTAGCTGAGACTACAGGCATGTGCCACCACATGCAACTAATTTTTTGTATTTTTAGTAGAGACGGGGTTTCACCCTGCTGGCCAGGATAGTTTCCATCTCCTGACCTTGTGATCCACTGCTTCGGCCTCCCAAAGTGCTGGGATTACAGGCGTGAGCCACCGCACCCAGCCTACCTACCTATCTTTAGTATGAGGCTTTGCCTTCTGTCAATGAGCTTATCATATAGACTGTTTAACAGAAGAGGTTCTACAGAGAAGTGAAGGTAAGGGAACTCAGCGTTAACATTTTTAAGAATGCTTTTTAATTCCATTAGGGTGGCAATAGTTGGTAAAATGCTTGGTAGTCTTCTCTGAGGATACTCTAAGCTATTTCAGAGTCCAAGATAAACTTTTGTTCTGATTTTTCTCTTTTAGCTGAAGCCATTTATACTAAAGGTCTTCTGTTCTTCTGTTACTTTGCCTTTTGCAAGACTAAGCTGTCCCGTCCTTTTCCTGTCATCCTGTGCCGTCAATACCATGTTTCTCTTCTTAAATGCGTTGGTTCCTCTGTTGCATCCAGTCTCTGCCATTCCCCTGCAGACCTCTTCCTTTCTTGCCTTTAAACAGGCAAGTCTTCTCTTGACATCAAGTGATTCACCCACCTCGGCCTCCCAAGGTGCTGGAATTACAAGCGTAAGCCACCTTGCCTGGCCTAATTGTTTACATTTTCTGTTTATTTTTTCATACATTCTGCCTGCCCTTTCCAACCACATTATTGATACTGTAGAGATAGAGTATTTGTCCTCTTCTACAGCTGGCCTGGCATATTCTTTTTAGGTGCTCAGAAAATAAACTAATAAGGTACCAGTGAGAACCTTCTAGATGCTTAATTGTCCAGTATAATGGTTAAGGTCTTACTATTGTGACAGAAAAATCCGGGTGTTTATAAGAATATGAGCCATGTGCTGGGCGCGGTGGCTCACGCCTGTAATCCCAACACTTTGGGAGGCCAAGGCAGGCAGATCACCTCGGGTCAGGAGTTTGAGACCAGCCTAACCAACATGGAGAAACTCCATCTCTACTAAAAGTACAAAAGTAGCCAGGTGTGGTGGCACACGCCTGTCATCCCAGCTACTCGGAGAAACACTTGAATCCAGGAGGTTGTGATGAGCCGAGATTGTGCCATTGCACTCCAGCCTGGGCAATAAGAGCAAAACTCCGTCTCAAAAAAAAAAAAAAGAATATGAGCCTGTTTTGGTTTTGATGGCCTTTTTACATTGTTTTGTATTTTTTTTTTTGTTTTTTTTTTGAGACGGAGTTTCACTCTTGTTACTCAGGCTGGAGTGCAATGGTGCGATCTCGGCTCACCACAACTTCTGCCTCCTGGGTTCAGGCAATTCTCCTGCCTCACCCTCCTGAATAGATGGGATTACAGGCACGCGCCACCATGCCCAGCTAAGTTTTTGTATTTTTAGTAGAGACGGGGTTTCACCAAGTTGACCAGGATGGTCCCTATCTCTTGACCTCGTGATCCACCCGCCTCGGCCTCCCAAAGTGCTGGGCTTACAGGTGTGAGCCACCACATCCGGCTGACGACTTTTTTACATTCTAAGAATATGTTAACATATGAACATTTTTAACATTTTAATTTACCTGTCACTGATGGGAATGGATTCATGTTAACTTACTTCTCATGATATACAGCTTGGACAACATGGCAAAAGCCTGACTCCATTAAAAAAATAGAAAAATTAGCTGGGCATGGTGGCTTATGCTTGTAGTCCAAGCTACTTGGGGGGCTGAAGTGGGAGAATCACCTGAGCCAGGGAAGGTCGAGTTTGTAGTGAGCTATGATTGTACCGCTGCACTCCAGCCTGGGCAACAGAGTGAGACCCTGTCATTTAAAAAAAAAAAAAAAAAGCCGGTGTGTGTTCACAAGTTCACTAATTTGTACAATTTGGCTCTTCTGCAGATCCTGTCTACCTTTCATGACCAACTACAGTTTTCATTGCAATGTCTGCCATCACAGTGGGAATACCTATTTCCTCCGGAAACAAGCAAGTAAGAACAAACTCGAGTATTTGAAGATGATTATCCACTGGAAAAGAAAAGGGATCTGGGCTTAGCAGAATCAGGAGTCCTTTGCCTAATAACTGGTATAAGTTAAGTTGGAGTTTAGCTCTGAATAATTGCAGTTGCCCATTTCAGGTCATGTAACGACTCCATTTTGTTGCTATTATTGTTATTTTCTATATCACTTATTGAGTATTCCCTTGGGAATAGAGATGTAGTATTATAGATAACTATTTTTACCTTTTTATTTTTGATAGACTTGAAGGAAATGTGCCTTAGTGCTTTGGCCAACCTGACATGGCAGTCCCGAACGCAGGATGAACATCCGAAGACAATGTTCTCCAAAGATAAGGTAGAGGTGGAATTAATGTAATTGCATTTATACTAAGGAGTTAGGAGGAACATCTAAATACATTCTTTAACAAGTACTTTCTTCCCGGTTTTTATGACTATATGACAGTGGATTCAGTGATTACGTTTTTCTATTTTTTTTTTTTTTTAAGATGGAGTCTTGCTCTGTCATCCAGGCTAGAGTGCAATGACGATATCTCAGCTCACTGCGACCTCTGCCTCCCGGGTTCAAGCAATTCTCCTGCCTCAGCTTCCTGAGTAGCTGGGATTACAAGTGTGCATCACCACGCCTGGCTAATTTTTTGTGTTTTCAGTAGAGACAGGGTCTTGAACTCCTGACCTCATAGTCCACCTGCCTTGGCTTCCAAAGTGTGGGGATTACAGACGTGAGCCACTGTGCCTGGCCTGTTTTATTTTTTTGAGAGAGGGTCTCTGTCACCCAGGCTGAATTGCAGTGGTGTAATCATGGCTCACTAAAGCAGTCCACCTTCCTTAGCCTCTCAAAGTGCTGGGATTACAGGCATGAGCCACTGCACATGGCCCATTTTTAGTTTATTTTTCACAAATCACTTTGAAAGTTTTCTTTTCTTTTCTGAGTTGGAGTTTTGCTCTTGTTGCCCAGGCTAGAGTGTAACGGTGTGCTCTTGGCTCACTGCAACCTCCCGCCTCCCGGGTTCAAGCACTTCTCCTAACTCAGCCTCCCAAGTAGCTGGGATTACAGGTGTGTGCCACCACGCCCGGTTAATTTTGTATATTTATTAGAGATAGGGTTTCTCCATGTTGTTCAGGCCAGTCTCGAACTCCCGACCTCAGGTGATATGCCCACCTCGGTCTCTGAGAGTGCTGGGATTACAGACATGAGCCACCGCACCTGGCATACTTTGAAAATTTTCAAGGTGGAATGTAGTGGCACCATCATGGCTCACTGAAGCCTTGACCTCCCACCTCAGCTCAATCTAATCCTCCCACCTCAGCCTGTCAAGTAGCCGGGACTACAGATGCACACCACCATACCCAGCTAATTTTTGTGGTGTTTTTTGTAGAGACAAGGTTTTACCACATTGCCCAGGCTGATCTCGAACTCCTGTATTCAAGTGATCTGCCCGTCTTGGCCTCCCAGGGTGCTGGGATTACAGGTGTGAGCTACTGTGCCCAGCCCATTTCTTCCTAGATTTGCCAGTTAACCTTTTTTTTTTTTTTAATCTACATTTGTTTTATCTCCCCATATCTCTATTTTTCCCTTAAGCTGTATGAGGCAACATTGTAGATGTACTTTACCCAGTATTCTGTTATACAACCACAATGCAATTATCATAATAGAAAAATTTAACATTGGTGCAGTACTGCTGATTTACAATTCATATTTGTAGTTTCTCAGGATTATTACTGTGTTCAGAATATTCTCCTTCATAGCTTTTTCCTCCATCCAGGATCTGGTTAGGATCACTCATTGCAGTTAGTTGTAATGACTCTTTTGTTTCTAGTCTATTAATAACACTATTCCTTTTACTTTTTTTTAATTATTTTTTTAAAGATGGGGTTTCTCCATGTTGGTCAGGCTGGTCTTGAACTCCAAACCTCAGGTGATCCACCTGCCTTGGCCTCCAAAGGGCTTGGATTATAGGCATGAGCCACCACGCCCCACCCAGAAAAACTATTCCTTTATTCAAAAAAATTTTTTTTTGTTTTTGAGACATTGTCTTGCTCTATTGCTCAGCATGGAATGCAGTGGCACAGTGAGGGTTCACTGAAGCCTTGACCTCCTGGGTTCAAGCTATTCTCCCTTCTCAGCCTCCCGAGTAGCTGGGATTCTAGGCTCATGCTGCCATACCCAGCTAATTAAAAAAATTTTTTTGTAGAGATGCAGTCTCACTATGTTGCCCAGCTAGTTTCAACCTCTTGGGCTCAAGTGATCCTCTTGCCTTGGCCTCCCAAAGCTCTGGGAATACAGGCATGAACCAGCCTAATAAATAAATAAATAAAACAAATAAATAAAGGGGCTCCTTTATTTATGTATTTAGTAAAGTAAATATTTGTAAGTGCTTAGGCAGTTGTTTGGCATGATATTCCTCAATTTGCATTTGATTGTTTTCTCATGATTAGGTTCAGGTTAAACTTTTTTTTTTTTCTTTAATAGGGACAGGCCTCACTATGTTGCTCAGGCTGGTCTTATACTCCTGGGCTCAAGTAATCCACTGGCCTTGGCCTCCCAAGGTGCTGAGATTACAGTTGTGAGCCACCGTGCCTGGCCATGTGTTACACATTTTTGGCAAGACTATTACATAGGTATTGTTTCTTTTTTTTTTTTTTTTTTTTTTTGAGACGGAGTTTCGCTGTTAGCACCCAGACTGGAGTGCAATGGCACGATCTCGGCTCACCGTAACCTCCGCCTTCTGGGTTCAGGACTACAGGCGCGCACCACCATGCCCAGCTAATTTTTGTATTTTTAGTAGAGACGGGGTTTCACCTTGTCGACCAGGATGGTCTCAATCTCTTGACCTCTTGATCCACACGCCTCGGCCTCCCAAAGTGCTGGGATTATAGGCGTGAGCCACCCCCACCCCCCGGCCATTGGTATTGTTTCTTTTTTAGACTATCACATCAGTAGATATATAAGGTATTGGTTTGTTTTACTATTAGGGATCCTGAATTGAACTAGTTGGTTAAGGAGGGAGCATTTTTATCTTTGTGATAAGTAATCCTTATCACAAAGGATTATGGAGATTATGTGAGTACCTTGTTCTCCTACTCCTTTCAACCAGTGATTTTTAGCCACCATTGATTATCCAACCCTGAATCAGTTGATAGAATAGTGGTTGTAAATCAGAAGATATTCGTTGGTTGTAAGTCTTCTGTAAATAATTTTCCCTCATTCTTTTTTTTTCCTTTTAAATATCAATGAATTTTTCTTTAAAAAGTCAATGTTTTATAGTCCATTGTTGGGTTTTTTTTGGTGTTTTTTTTTGTTTTTGTTTTTGAGACAGAGTCTGGCTCTGTCACCAAGGGTGGAGTGGAGTGGAGTGGTGTGGTGTCTTGGCTCACTGCAACTTCTTCCTCCTGGGTTCACGCAGTTCTGCCTCAGCCTCCTGAGTGGCTAGGACTACAGGCATATGCCACCATGCCCAGCTAATTTTTGTGTTTTTGTATTCTTTGGTAGAGATAGGGTTTCACCATGTTGACCAGGCTGGTCTCAAGTGATCTGCTCACCTCGGATTCCTAAATTGCTGGGATTACAAATATAAGCCACTGTGCCCGGCCATTGTTGAATTTTTTATTTCTGACCCTCAGATTGTCCCAGATTCAACTATTGTAAACAAAACCCGATTCCCTATCTGGCTGATTCCTGAAACTCTTTGATATGCCCCCATCCGTTTTTGAACTCTTCCTTACTTTCTGGAATAACAGAATATTCCAGGCTTACTTCCCGTGGTTCCTTTTATTAAAGATTTAGTTTTCATGGAGCTAACTCTGGTGGTGGTACTTTAGAAGATAATCTAAATAGGAGGTCAGAAGATGAAGGTCAAAATTCGTTTCAGTCATGCAAGCAGGAGTTGGTGAGAGCCACAGTCACAGCAGTGCGGATAGAAGGGAGACCAGAATAGAGTGACATTTCTGAAATTTTAAAATTTATTTGGTGACCATTTAGGTGTAAAAATTGTCAGACAAGAGTCAAGGACAACTCCATTGTGTCTAGCTTATTCTGGGTGATCACTGGTTCTAAGTATCAGGAGCAAGAATAGAAATCTGAAAAGCAGATTTATGAGGTAAGATACCAAGTTCCATTTCAGTCACAAGAAGTTAGAGATGCCTTTAGGATGTCCAGGTGGAGATGTCTCAGCAGGTAGAAATAGGAGTTCAAGAGAATAATTTGGGAGTCATCTTCTAATTGACAACTAAGGGACCGTGACAGCTTTTTCTTCCAACTGGAGTATAAGACCTACATGGCTTAGATTTGTTTATACTTGTGGAAATCCCCATAATCTGTATATCATGTGCATGCAATGAAGTATTCAGTGATTAAAAGATAATGTAAACCTTGCATAACAGTATTGGGGGGGAGCTAACATGATTTTTCTCTTGATTCTAACAAGGTCCTTGAAAAATGCTGTTTTCTTTCTTTGTCAGCATACCTTTGACTGTAGCAGTAATAGTCTTAATATATTTTATTTTAAAAATTAGGATATTATACCATTTATTGATAAATACTGGGAGTGCATGACAACCAGACAGAGACCTGGGAAAATGACTTGGCCAAATAACATTGTTAAAACAATGGTAAGTAGACTAAAATTGATTAGACTTGACATTTAAAAAAACATTAATTCTTTGTAAGAAATAACATTTCAGCTTATTGTGAAATGAGAAAATGAGAACTTAATGTTAAACTTTTGAGTGTGAGATACAGCTAATTGTGAATTTTAATAGTTTTCACACAATCAGTGAAATGCATATTGTGTCTTATGTGAACATTGCCCACATAACCCTGGTTTTATGTATTGAAACTTTCGTCCACTGTATTTTGCAAGAACAATTTTATATTGAATTGAGACCACTTTTTTTTATTCTATTAAAAAAAATTGTTCTAAGCCATATTGTCCTTAAACTTAAAGAGAGCACCCAGGGAGAAGTCAACAGCAAGCTGTTAACAGTGCTTATCTCTGTGGGGTAGAAGGATAGGTGAGGATTATGAAACAGTTGGACACTCTTCCTATTTCTCTGTTGTTTGAATTTTTTGATGGTCATGTATTGTCTCTTAGAAGGAAAAACAATACTGTCTTTTTTGAAGACTACACCTAGGAATTGACTTTTGGAGTTGGTGGTTGATTATCCATTCCATACTTCTAAGTATAAAATGTTTATTAATAGTAAAACACTGCTTCATTTCAGAGTAAAGAAAGAGATGTATTCTTGGTAAAGGAACACCCAGATCCAGGGAGTAAAGACCCAGAAGAAGATTACCCCAAATTTGGACTTTTGGATCAGGTACATTAATATGTTTTATATTTTCTTTTTGATTTTAAGTTACTTGGGGATAGCAAATCAGATTCTGTTTACATTTGTATATTTCCCACATAACACACTGCCATTACATGCTCATAGCATGGTGGACTCAAAAAACAGTGACCAATAGAAGAGTGCCCACCTTCATCTAGGAGACCAGTGTTTTAGTTGTGGGTCTTCCCCCAAAATGTTAGGAATTTCTTCAAATCACTTTTTTTTGACTTTAGTTTTCTTATTTGCAACATGTAAAAATGGTATTTCCAATTACTTCTAATCTTCCTGCCATCTTTTTTTTTTTTTTTTGAAACGGAGTTTCGCTCTTGTTGCCCAGGCCGGAGTGCAATGGCGCAATCTCGGCTCACCGCAACCTCCACCTCCTGGGTTCAAGCAATTCTCCTGTCTCAGCCTCCTGAGTAGCTGGGATTACAGGCACGCACCACCATGCCCAGCTAGTTTTTTGCATTTTTAGTAGAGACAGGGTTTCACCAAATTGACCAGGATGGCCTCGATCTCTTGACCTCGTGATCCACCCGCCTCGGCCTCCCAAAGTGCTGGGATTACAGGCTTGAGCCACCGCGCCCGGCCCCTCTTCCTGCCATCTTAAATTTGCTCTTAAAAACATTCTTTGTTGTGAAAAGAATTTGTTATGAAAAATTTGTGTTGCATATCTAACATAACAGGAAAACGAAAATTGCCGCTTTTTGTTGAACAGCGGGGGTCACATTTGGCAAGTGAGAATATCACATCTTAAAGCTGTACCTTTACATGTTTGATTTGCCAGCTTTGAAGATGCAAGATTTGGCCCGGTACAGTGGCTCATGCCTATAATCCCAGCACTTTGGGAGACTGAGGCAGGAGGATTGCTTGAGCCCAGGAGTTCGAGACCAGCCTGGACAATACAGCAAGACCCCATCTCTCAAAAAAGAAAATGCAAGATTTCACATAGAAATTTAGATTTCTCTTTTGTAAAATGAAGATATCTGACTACATGGGGCCTGAATTCCCATAGGAGCTGAGTAAATGGGGCTTAGGCACTCCTGTGCCCTCTCCTGCCTCTACCCAGGTTGATTAATTGCCATTTATCACCATTCAGAAACTACTCTGATCCTTCCAGTTGGCCTGCCTCGCATGTACTTGCAAGGGTGCTTGCTGATCCATAACGCACCCAAGTTTGGGACCCTACAAGCTTCATTGTTTAAAATTGTCCATTTCAGGCCAGGCGTAGTGGCTCATGCCTATAATCCCAGCACTTTGGGAGGCTGAGGCGGGCGGATCACTAGAGATCAGGAGTATGAGACCAGCCTGGCTAACGGGGCAAAACCATGTCTCTACTGAAAATACAAAAATTAGGTCAGGTACCGTGGCTCACACCTGTAATCTCAGTACTTTGGGAGGCCAAGGCAGGTGGATCACCTGAAGTCAGGAGTTTGAGACCAGCCTAGCCAACATGGTGAAACCCATCTTTGCTAAAAAATTAGCTGGGTGTGGCAGCAAGCGCCAGTAATCCCAGCTAATTTGGAGGCTGAGGCAGGAGAATCGCTTGAACCTAGGAGGCAGAGGTTGCAGTGAGCCGAGATCACACCATTGCATTCCAGCCTGGGCGACAAGAGCAAAACTCTGTCTTAAAAAAAAAAATTAGCCGAATATGGTGGCATGCACCTGTAATCCCAGCTACTCTAGAGGCTGAGGCAAGAGAATCACTTGCATCTGAGAGGCAGAGGTTTGAGTAAGCTGAGATCGTACCACTGCACTGCAGCCTGGGCAACAGAGTAAGACTCTGACTCAAAAAAATAATAATAATAATTGTCAATTTTAGTTCCCATTTTGTTACTCCTGTTTTATGAGCATGCAGATTGACTGCCTTATGTAGACTCATTTTTTAATTGGGTAATATTTTTGCAGGACCTTAGTAACATTGGTCCTGCTTATGACAACCAAAAACAGAGCAGTGCTGTGTCTACTAGTGGGAATCTAAATGGTAAGTGTTGACATATCTCATCGCTCAAATATTTTGAAGCTATTGAATCCAGTTGTGCCTAGAATTGGCCATTCTTTGTGTTGGCCCTTAACCCGGATACTTACTAAGATGCTTTTATAGTCCAAACTCAAGTTTTAGGAGCTAGCCAAGGGTTTGGCAGATGGTAATAGAGGAGGACTTTTTGTCACTTTACAACACAGTTTGGTGTTGAGTGAGACAGGCTTAGCATGAAACAGGGAACCATTTCAAGGTCAGATTTGCCGTGTTTGTATCTGTATCCTTATAACTAACATTTAATTTAGAAAGATTCGGCTGCTCTCCACTCTTTTTCTGTAATTCAGCTGTTACTTTTAACAGACTTCCTGTGCCCATCTTCTAATTTTTCTTGCCTGAAACTTCAGCTAATTCATATGATAGCATTTCTGTGTTAACCACCCATGCAGCTTGTTTTTCTGTTAACCCATCTAATAGCAGGAAAACCCTTTGTTACTAATGGTTATTTAATAAAAGTTGGGGTGGCTGAGAGATGTTTTCGTCTGATACATGGCATCATTAACCTGTCTTTTGGAGTGGTAGCATCTTAAATATCTGATCATTTCTACTGTTACTAATATTCTAAGATGGGTTGGAAATAGCGAGGTGTGTTGTTTATCTTTTTACAACATATTTCCCCCTTTTAATTGTTAAAATTTGACAAATACATGGTACCACTTCTGTTCTTACAGGTGGAGCCACTTTTGGAGGTGAATTCCTCCACTGTCTTCTTTCAGCCTCTCAGACTTAAGTATTTTGTGGTTTGGAAAATGCTTTTTGCTGAGCTGTGGTAGTAGTTAAAACCAAATAATTTTAAAGCACTGTGAAAATGGCGGCAATAGCACTTAATATGAAACAGTAGTTGAGTTTAATGTTAGTATTTAAAAGCTTGTATGTTGCTATATTCTGCCTAACATGGCCAGCCACCCCCCTTTTATATTGTTTGCCCTGTTTTAGATGGATCTGAAACTTCTTAAAATAATTAAAACGTAAATGACAATAAAAAAATGTAATTGTGACTGGGCACAGTGGCTCACTCCTATAATCCCAGCACTTTGGGAGGCTGAGATGGGCAGATCACCCGAGGCCAGGAGTTTGAGACCAGCCCGGCCAACATGGCGAAACCCCAGCTCTACTAAAATGCAAAAAAATCAGCCAGGCGTGGTGGCAGGCACGTGTAATCCCAGCTGCTTGGGAGGCTGAGGCAGGAGAATCGCTTGAACCCAGAAGGCAGAGGTTGCAGTGAGCCAAGATTGTGCCAGTGTACTCCAGCCTGGGTGACAGCATGACTCCAACTCAAAAAAACAAAAAAGTAATTGTTTTTGGATTACAGTGACTTAAACTAGAGTGGACATTGCAGTAGTTTAACATTAAACCTTTATGAAAAATAGGAACAATGTCTGAGGTGTTCACCAAAGGAAATTCTGCGTAAATCTGGTCCTGTATATGCAGAATATGACCTACCTTCATTCAATGTCTTGATCCTTTTCATTGCAGCAGAATTGCTAGTAATTCCCAAGCTTGCCCCAAATTAAGATGTAGTCCTCTGCAGTTGTTATGTAAAGGTGTTTTCCTGCAGTTCAGGGATGTTTTCTGGAAGAGAGAAAAGCAAAACTAATTGAGAGAAATGATAGAACTGAACAAAAATTTCAAAAGTACCTATTTCAGAAATACATTCCTTGTGACCTCAGTATGTAGCTAAATTTTTCATATAAAATATGTAAATTGTCTATTCATATTAATTGCTTTTAGTTCCACAAGCCAAGTTAGTCTAACCTGAATTTTGTGCATTGGCACAGTCTTAATGTTGTATGACAAATGGGTATGGAACTAAAAATTGCCTACCAAATTGAAAGCCTTCTTTCTTATTTGTGTCATGTGCAACCACAATGGAGATCTAGCACTACTGGAGAGAAACACCTTTTTAGTACTTCTGTTTCTGTTTTCCATGTTGTATATATGTTGTCTTGTTGGATATTCAACTTCAATGCTTTAGCAGATATTGTGCCTTTATGATGTTTATGGACTATATTGTATAGTTCAAGCAAGTGAACATCGACTTCCAATGAGGATATTCTCTCTTTATGGGTGTTTGTATTAATTTGGGTGGGGAAAAAAAAAAACTGTACCCATACAGTTATTTTCCTTCTTTTTTTCTGTGAGTGTTTGGGATCTGAATGAGTGAAAATGCATTGTGTCACACCCTCAGAAAATATACTAATAGTTGCAGTTCATTAGGAACAAAGGTTAAAATTGTAACCCAACCATCACTAGTGCTGGATTCATTTGAGCTTATTGCCAGAACCCAGTGTTCCTGGGCTGTGAGAGGCTTAGTAGATTCTTTCAAAACCAGGGTGAAATCCAATATGATTTTGGAAGGAAATCCTCCTGTGGTGTTACGCAAATGCACATTGGGTGTGTGGCCCTCATGGAATTTCAGTATCCACATGGTGCTTCTCTCATGGCTCATTGAAAGTGATCTGCCTTCTCTTCAAAGGGGGAATTGCGGCAGGAAGTAGCGGAAAAGGACGAGGAGCCAAGCGCAAACAGCAGGATGGAGGGACCACAGGGACCACCAAGAAGGCCCGGAGGTGGGGAGAGTGCCCACCCTGTCCCACCTCACTATTTAAGTATTACTTGGTTCTGGGAAAGTCCAGCAGAGGGAAAAGAGGTCACGGGTCTGAGGTTAAAAAGCCTGTCCATTATTTCCAAACCTTGAGCATTCTGAGGGACAGAATAACCCCAGGTTGGAGGCCGGGTGCGGGGTCTCACACCTGTAATCCCAGCACTTTGGGAGGCTGAAGTGGTTGGATGGATCACTTAGGGCAGGAGTTTGAGACCAACCTGACCATGGCAAAACCCCATCTCCACTAAAAATACGAAATTAGGCAGGTATAGTGGTGAGCACCTGTAATCCCTGCTACTTGGGAGGCTCCAACAAAAGAATCACTTGAACCTGGGAGGCAGGTTGCAGTCAAACAAGATCATGCCACTGCATTCCAGCCTGGGCAACAGAGTGAAACTCTGTCTCAAAAACAAAACAAAATAACCGAAGGCCGGGTGCTATAATCTCAGCACTTTGGGAGGCTGAGACAGGTGCATCACCTGAGGTCAGGAGTTCAAGACCAGCCTGGCCAACGTGGCGAAACCCTGTCTCTACTAAAAAAAAAAAAATTAGCTGAGCCTGGCAGTACATGCTTATAATCCCAGCTACTCAGGAGGCTGAGGCAAGAGGAGCACTTGAACCCAGGAAGAAGAGGTTGCAGTGAGCTGAGATTGCACTGTTAGACTCCAGCCTGGGTGACAAGAATGAAACTCCATCTCAGGAAAACAAAACAATCCCAAGTTTAAGTATCATGTTTTATAAATTTGTTAGTACAAAATTTATAATAGTAACAAGGACAGCATCTTCTGGTGATAAGCCTGGGAAACCTAGGAAGTGAAGTTCTGTTAAGGCAACTTGAGAAAGGACAGGTGGGAAGGGAGTAAAACCAGTGTTGAATGTTAGCACCTTCACTTTCTGCCTCTTCCTTCTCATGCCTTTTCCCTTCCCTTTGTCTAATGCTGAGTTGATGAAATCTAGGTTACTTACTTACTTACTTATTTTTGTGAGATAGAGTTCTCTGTCACCCAGGCTGGAGTGCAGTGGCAGAATCTCAACTCACTGCACTAGTTACTTATGTAGATTAGCAAGATAGCAAGTGCTTAGGTCTCTGAGCTTCTATTCATTACTTTATAATAATCAATATACTGAACAATATCACCCTAATCACCCCCATTCCTCTTCTCCTTCACCCCGCTAGGATGTACCAGCTCAGTTTCATAGACCTCAATTCATGCTTAAAGACCAACAGGAAGATCCCCACAGGCTACAAGTAATTTAACCAAAACTACCTTGCGCAATAAAGCTAATCACTTCCCTGTTTTGCCTGAAGAGGGCAGAGTGATCTATTTGAGTAATGACAAGTATTTGCTGTGAAGTTGCATGTGTTCTAGCTGAAATCAGATAAACCAGAGGCCTTTCTTGCACAGTTGTATGCAGTTGAGCTAGAGCGGGTTTTAGTTTCTTGATTTTATTTTTTCCTTTCTGCAGTGACCCTTTGTTTTCTGCTCAGCGCCTACCCCCTCATGGCTACCCCTTGGAACACCCATTTAACAAAGATGGCTATCGGTATATTCTAGCTGAGCCTGATCCCCACGCCCCTGACCCCGAGAAGCTGGAACTTGACTGCTGGGCAGGAAAACCTATTCCTGGAGACCTCTACAGAGCCTGCTTGTATGAACGCGTTTTGTTAGCTCTACATGATCGAGGTATGTAAAGTATTAGGGATCATATGGATGCAGGGTTACTTTGAACTGCCATCATCAACCTTGTCAATCTAGAACTAGGGGTACATCTCAGTCTTTTACCGCTGCCTCACCCCATCTCTAACTAGATTCATCCAGAATGTACAAGAAATAACCTCCTTTTCTGTTCCTTCCTATAAGCTCCAGCCATTTTATATACATATGTATGGTTTTTTCATTTTTCTATTTTGAACTAATTTTAAACTTGCAGTAAAGTTGCCCAAAATACGGTTTTTTTTCTCATAAAGCTTTCCCTTATGATAATATCTTAGAAAACCATAGTACGGTTACCAAAACTGGGAAATTAATGTTGGTAAATATTATCAACACAACTAAAGAAAGACCTTCTTCAAATTTTATCAATTTTCCACTCACACTTAATTATTTCTCCTTAGTCTGTTGTAGTCTTTATTAGTTCCAAAGCCATTGCTTATCTTTCACGACCATGATATTTTTTAAGTGTTTTAATCAGTTATTTTGTTGAATATTCCTCAGTGAGGATTTGCTTGATGTTTTCTCATGATCAGACTGAAGTTATACAGTTTGGGGAAGAATAACACAGACATGATGTCTTATAGTATCAGTCATAGGATTCATGATGTTAGTAGGTCTTATTGGTTACGTTGACCATGATCATTTGGTTAAGGCAATTATGCTGGCTTTCTCCACTGTAAAAAGCTACTGTCTTTCCCTTTATAGTTAATAAATGTCTTAGGCAAAATACATTAAGTCTATCTATACAAATATCTTGTTTGTTTTTAAACTTAATATCTACTGATTTTAGCACCCATCAGTGGATATTGTCTGCCACAATTATTACTGTGTTGTTTGGTGATTTTCTGTTTCCTCTTTCCCTTTTCCATTTATTTAATTGGTTATTTATATCAGTATGGACTCACAGGTACTTATTTGATTCCAGGGAGTATAATCCAGTACTTTGATTATTTTGTTGCTTAATTTTCCAGCTTTGGCCAGTAGGAGCTTTTTCAAAAAGTTGGTTCTTGTGTTCTTTTGATAAACTGCATCTTTTTTGTTTTTTTAAATACTTACTTTGAGGCATCAAAAGGTATTCCTGGCTAATCTTATATTTTCTATACCTCAGGCCTACTTCTTCACTGAGCCCTGGTTCCTTTGATTGGAGCATGTTGTTTAGAAGTTAACATCTAGACGCTCATTTCCGTAGCACGTATACCAAAATTGGAACGACACAGAGAAGATTAGCATGCCTCTGTGCAAGAGTGACACACAAATTCAGGAAGCATTCCATATATTTTTTTAAGTAATAAATAGTAATCAATATCTAGGTGTTAGGTGTACTGTTACTAGGTATCATTGCTTCTAGACTCTCTCAGTGGTCAGAGGTAGGAAATGCATGTGTGAGTTTGTACAAACCCGCATGTACACACATAACTGAATTTATATTGGTACCTGGGATGACAGCCTTCTTTCCTTTCCTTATTTGTAACATCTTTCTCCAAGAGTGGGAAATGTGAATAATTAGATAGATAATTATCTACAATATATGTACTTTATTTCACATTATACTTTATTTTTTATAGAGATCAGGGTCTCACTCAAGCTGGTATGCAGTGATGCAGTCATGGTCACTGCAGCCTCAGCCTCCTGGGCTCAACTGATCCTCCTGCTTCAGCCTCCCGAGTAGCTGGGACCACAGGCACACGCCACCACACCTAGCCGATTGTTTTGTTTTTTAATTTTTTAGAGGTGGGGTCTTTGTAGGTTACCTAGGCTGGTCTCAAACTCCTGGGCTCAAACAGTCATCCTGCCTCAGCCTCTTAGAGCCTTGGGAGTGAGCCACTATGCTTGGTCTTGTTCATACGTAATGTGCACATAAAGTCGTTTCAGAATTTCTAACCCCTGGGAGAAACATTTGCTAAGTAGATCATAGCATTTATGTATAGCTCTTTTTGTCTTTAGCCTTGCAGTACCTAGTCCAAGATACTGGTAACTTAGATTAGTTCTTTTCTTCCCCACCTCCTTCAGTGTGATCATGTCCAATTAAGTTAGGTTCATTTGCTAATGTTTGATGCCATTTTGGATTCTCCCACATCTTGACTGATTGTGTGTGTATATATGTTTGGAATGAGGATGTGAAACATGACTATGGTTCTGGGAGTCAGAGTTGTTCAGAAAGGTTTACAAAATGTCACTCCCTCATCACCTCTACAATGCCCTTCTCATTCTCTTTTTTTCCACCGTCTTCCACACCTTAGTTTCTAGTTTATCCTTCCTGTATTTCTTCTTCACAAATGAGCAGATACAGTACATGTATATTTTATTGTTTCTTCTTTTTTCTTTGTTTGTTTTTGGGTTTTGGGGGGTTTGATTTGTTTTTTTGAAGCTGCAAGGTAGTGGCATGATCTTGGCACACTGTAGCTTCCACATCCCTGGCTCAAGCAGTTCTCATCCTGAAGCCTCCTGAATAGCTGGGACTACAGGTCTGTGCCACCACCCCTGGCTGATTTTTGTATTTCTAGTAGAGACGGGGTTTTGCCATGTTGGCCAGGCTAGTCTTGAACTCCTGACCTCAGAGGATCTGCCCATCTCAGCCTCCCAAAGTGCTGGGATTACAGGCAGGAGCCACTACATCCAGCCTTATCTCCTTTTTTATACACGAATAGCAGCATGCTATAGTCTTTGCCCCATGCAATTATTATTTTATTTATTTATTTATTTATTTATTTATTTGAGATGGAGTCTCACTCTATTGCCCAGGCTAGAGTGCAGTGATGTGATCTCAGCTCACTGCAAACTCAGCCTCCCAGATTCAAGCAATTCCTCCTGCCTCAGCCTCCCAAGTAGCAGGGATTATAGGCATGCACTGCCACGCCCAGCTAATTTTTATATATTTAGTAGAGGTGGGTTTTTACCATGTTGCCCAGGCTGGTCTCAACTCCTGACCTCATGATTCGCCCACCTCGACCTCCCAACGTGCTGGGATTACAAGCACGAGCCACCACATCTGACCTACCTACCTACCTATTTATTTATTTATTTAGAGAAAGGGTCTTGCTCTGTCACCCAGGCTGGAGTGCAGTGGTGCAATCTCAGGTCACTGCAGCTTCAACGTCCTGGCTCAAGTGGTCTTCCCATCTTAGCCTCCCAAGTAGCTGGGACTACAGGCATACATCACTGCACCCAGCTAAATTTTAGTCATTTTTTGTAGGGACAAAGTCTCATTCACTGTGTTGCCCAGGATGGTCTTAAACTGCTGATCTCAGGTGACCCTCCTTCCTTAACCTCCCAGAGTTCTGGGATTACAGGCATGAGCCATTGCATCTGGCTTCATTGTTTATTTGTTCATTTGTTTGTCTGTTTTCAAGATGGGATCTCACTCTACCACCCAGGCTGGAGTGTAGGCTTTGCAATGACAGCTCACTGCAGCCTCAGTCTTCCCTGATAAAATCAGCCTACAAAGCCTCAAATTCACTCTGACCTTTTGCCATTTTTTCTTTGTGTGAAAGTCATGGGGTCCTCCCGATTATTTAAATTGCCCCTTATCTCTTTGGCTCACACAGTTCTGCAGCCTGTATAAGAAGCATGGGACTAGCACCTGCTTCTGGTGAGGATCCCAGGCATGTCCACTCATGGCAGAAGGCAAAGTGGAGCAGGCATTAGATGGCAAGAGAGGAAGCAAGACAAGGAGGGAGATGCTATGCTCTTTTTAACAACCAACTCCCTCTGAAACTAATAGAGTGAAAACTGAGTCACACCCCCCCACAGTCCACATCAATCTGCTCTTGAGAGATCTACCCTCATGACCCAAATACTTCCCATTACACCCCACCTCCAACATTGGGATCAAATTTCAGCCCACACTTAGCCAAACTATAGTGATACCTATATACCATTCACCCAGCTTTTAACAGATCAAGATTTTGTCATGTTTGCTTTATCTGTTTCTTTATTTCTTTGTCTTGCCCTCTTTTTCTGAATTAAAAAAATCCACATCATCCTACATACTCTAAAAACTATGTGTCTTTTAAAGTATGTGGATTTTTTCTTTTATAACCGTAATAATTCCTTGCTATCATCTGGATTTAGTTTATAGTCAGATTTCCTTGATTGTCTTAAATACCTATTCATCTCCCTGAGATGTTTATTAATTACAAAAGGAAAATTGTTATTCCATTGCAAAATGGAGCCCACTGTCTAGCAGCCCATGCTTCCTTCTGTTATTTATTTATTTAAGACAGGGTTTCACCATGTTGACCAGACTGGTCTCGAACTTCTGACCTCAGGTGATCTGCCCGCCTCGGCCTCCCAAAGTGCTGAGATTACAGGAGTGAGCCACCTCGCCCAGCCCCTTCTGTTATTTTTTTGAGATGGATTCTTGCCCTGTTGCCCAGGTTGGAATGAAGTGGTGCGATCTCAGCTCACTGCAACATCTGCCTCCTGGGTTCAAGTGATTCTCTTGCCTCAGCCTCCCAAGTAGCTGGGACTATAGGTGAGCACCACCACACCCGGCTAATTTTTGCATTCTTAGTAGAAATGGGGTTTCACCGTGTTGTCCAAGCTAGCCTTGAACTCCTGACTTCGGGCGATCTGCCCACCTCAGCCTCCCAAAGTGCTGGGATTATAGGGGTGAGCCACCGCACCCAGCATCCTTGAAGTACAAATCTGTTAAGCTTTTTATGCAATCATTACTTTTCAACAATCACACAAAATGCCATCACTATGGGCTTTCGGTCACTAAAATTCCATTTATGTTCCTTTTTGATAAGAACATAAGAGACTCAAGACTCAATTCAAAGGACTAGAAAACCTAATTAAAGTAGCAGAAAACCTGGAGAACCAAGCACCTTAAGAACACGTTGGGTCTCATGGGGACTTAGTTTAGATCAGCCATGGGTGAAGCAGGAGCAAGAGCAACAGTTGATGTTGTTTCTCAAACATGAGTCTTCTGCAGTAGCCAGTAACTGGGAAACTCAGCTGAAAGCTCCCTCCTCAAGGCTGAAAATTTGTATTTCTTATCAGATACAAACATGAAAAGAGGAGAGGACCCTTGAGATGATCAGCATAAAAGTATTCCTTCCTAAGTCATTCCATTGCAATGGAGAAACCTGGCAGGCGAGTGAAATCACTATTTTGATAGCATGTGTGATGCCCTGAGGGGCACAACAGTACCTCATTGGAGTTCCTGAGTAAAAATAACAATGACCTGGACCTTAAAATGAGGAAACACCAGGCCAGAGTCACACCTGTAATCCCAGCACTTTGGGAGGTCAAGGCATGTGGGTCACCTGGAGGTCAGGAGTTAAAGGCCAGCCCGGTCAACATGATGAAATCCCTTTCCTACAAAAATTAGTTAAGCATGATGGCATGTGCCTGTAATCCCAGCTACTCAGGAGGCTGAGGCGGGAAAATCACTTGAACCCAGGAGGCAGAGGTTGAACCAGACAAATGTAATTGAGGGACATTCTACAAACTAAAGTGACCAATATTCTTCAAAGTATCAAGCTTATGAAAGGTTGGGGAACTGTTTGAAATTGGAAGAGACTAAGGAGACATGACAAGTAAATGAAACATAGACTCTAGGATTAGAACCTGGCCCAGAAAAGGGGATATTACTTGGATAATTGGCTTAATTTTAGGAAGATCTATGGATTATTTAATAGTATTATGTTATTAATCTTCTGGTTTTGATGATTATGTTATGGCTATACATGATGTTAACATTTGGGAAAACTGAAGTACACACTAGGACTCCATCATTTTTTGGAAGTCTGAAATTGTTTTAAAACAGTTAAGGCCAGGTGCAGTGGATCATGCCTGTAATCCCAGAACTTCCGGAAGCCAAGGAGGATGGATTGCTTTAGTCCAGGAGTTTGAGACCAGCCTGAGCAACTTAGCCAAACCCTGTCTCTACAAAAAATTAGCTGGGTGTGGTAGTGCTTGTAGTCCCATCTACGGGGCTGAGGCAGGAGGATTGTTTAAGCCCAGGAAGTCAAGACTGTAGTGAGTCAAGATCACGCCACTGCATTGCAGACTAAGCAACAGCGTGAGACCTCTCAAGGGGGGAAAAAAAAACTAGGTAAGAGGCTAGGCACAATGGCTCATTCCTGTTATCCTGGTACTTGGGGGGCCAACACAAGAGGATCGCCTGAGGCCAGGAGTTTAAGGCTGTGGTGAGCTGTGGTTGTACCACTACACTCCAGACTGAGTAAGAGAGCAAGACCCTGGTTCTAAAAAAAAAATAGAAGGATGGGTGTGGTGGCTCACACCTGTAATTCCAGCACTTTGAGAGGCCAAGGCGGGCAGATCCAGGAGTTTAACACCAGCCTGGGCAACATGGCAAAACCCCATCCCTACCAGAAAAATAAAATACAGAATGTAACTGGGCATGGTGGCACGTGCCTATAGTCCCAGCTGCTTGGGAGGCTGCACTCCAGCCCAGGTAATAGAGTGAAATCTCTGTCTCAAAAAAAAAAGAACAAAACTTAAATCCTTTTTGTTTTTTTAAACTATGATCAGGAGAACAAAACTTAAATCTTTTAAAGGAAAATTCATTTAAATTAAGTTCCAAACTCATAACCATTGGTTCATTATATTTTAGGGAATATGCAGTATAATTAATCAGATATCTTAAAGATAATCACACATAGGCTGGGTGTGGTGACTCACTCCTATAATCCCGGCACTTTGGGAGGCTAAGGCAGGTGGATCACCTGAGGTCAGGAGTTCAAGACCAGCCTGACCAATATGGTGAAACCCCATCTCTACTAAAAATATGAAAATTAGCCAGGCAAAGTGGCCGGCACCTGTAATCCCAACTACTCGGGAGGCTGAGACAGGTGGATTGCTTGAACCCAGGAGACTGAGGTTCCAGTGAGCCAAGATCAAACCAATGAACTCTAGCCTGGGTGACAGTGAGTCTCAAAAAAAAAAAGATAATCACATATAATAAAAACTAGGTAACCTAACAACTTTCTCTTTTTTGTTCCTTTCTCATTCTTTGCCAGTATCTTATGTTGAGATTTTTAAACTCCTCAATTAATACTTCAGACAGCTTACCTGATATTTGTGATTTTTAAATTTTGTTTTGGCTGGGTGCAGTGGCTCATGCCTGTAATCCCAGCACTTTGGGAGGGCTAGGCAGATGGATCACATGGTAAGGAGGAGTTCAAGACCAGCCTAGCCAATATGACAAAACCCTATCTCTACTAAAAATACAAAAATTAGCTGGGCGTGGTGGCGGGCACCTGTAATCCCAATTACTTGGGAGGCTGAAGCAGGAGAATCACTTGAACCCAGGAGGCAGAGGTTACAGTGAGCCAAGATCGTGCTGTTGCACTCCAGCCTGGGCAACAAGAGCAAGACTCCATAGGAGGAAAAAAAAATTGTTTTACTGGAGTATAAGGGACTCTTGTTTTTGTGGCAATTGGCCCCAAAAACCTCAAATAAGTTGCAGGCCTCTGTTTTAATCTCTGTCACTGTAGCTCCCCAGTTAAAGATCTCAGATGACCGGCTAACTGTGGTTGGTGAGAAGGGCTACTCTATGGTGAGGGCCTCTCATGGCGTACGGAAAGGTGCCTGGTACTTTGAAATCACCGTGGATGAGATGCCACCAGATACTGCTGCCAGACTGGGTTGGTCCCAGCCCCTAGGTAAGCTGGGGCCTTAATATGGACGTCACCGCAGATAGAGAGGACAGACTATCTGGCTAAGGTCTAAGGCTTCAAGGCGTTGGGTTGACCAGATTGCGGGCATAGAATTCATTTCCTAAGGGTTGAACTGGTTTGCAATTCCCGGGATATTTTTGTATTCTTTACTTGTGAGAAAGTTTTTAAGCAATTTTACAAAATTGACCAAGAAACAAAAAGGAATAGAATCTTTTTTCCTTCAGCAAACTAGATTTGACTTGCAATCTTCTGACTTACTGTATATCTTTTTATTGGGACAGGTAACCTTCAAGCTCCTTTAGGTTACGATAAATTTAGCTATTCTTGGCGGAGCAAAAAGGGAACCAAGTTCCACCAGTCCATTGGCAAACACTACTCTTCTGGCTATGGACAGGGAGATGTCCTGGGATTTTATATTAATCTTCCTGAAGACACAGAGACAGCCAAGTCATTGCCAGATACATACAAAGATAAGGTGAGTTTGTCCTCTCCCAGCAGATTTCTGGCTGTGAAGACCTGTGGCAGCCAGTGCCTGTCGCTGCAGCTTATGTGTTCTCTCATGAACTGACCCATGGCTCACGTTTTTTCCTAACCTGTTGTTATAACATTTTCAGAATAACAGTAACAGTCAGTGCCCAAATAGTTATACATTCATTCTTCTACCCCTGTATCATTTGTTGTTTTTTTTTTTTTTTTTAAGCGCACTACAGAGAAAATGGCAGACATCAGGACATTTTCCCACTAAGTACTTCAGGATACATAAGCTAGAGTTCAACCTGTTTAATTCATTCTTTTGATAACAAAATTTATATAAAATGAAGTATGGCTGGGTGCGGTGGTACGTGCCTGTAGTCCCAGCTACTCCGGAGCCTGAGGTGGGAGGATCGCTTGAGCCCAGGAGTTCTGGGCTATAGTGTGCCATGCTCATCAGGTGTCCACATTAAGTTCGGCATCAATATGGTGACCTCCCAGGAGCGAGGGACCACCAGGTTGCCTGAGGAGGGGTGAACCAGCCCAGGTCGGAAAAGGAGTAGGTCAAAACTCCCGTGCTGATCAGTAGTGGGTTCACACCTGTGAATAGCCACTGCACTCCAACCTGGGCAACATAGTGAGACCCCCATCTCTTTAAAAATAAGTAAATAAATAAGAAAAAAACAAAGTATGGCCAGCCACAGTGGCTCACACCTGTAATCCCAGTACTTAGGGAGGCTAAAGCTGGTGGATCACCTGAGGTCAGCAGTTCAAGACCAGCCTGGCTAACAAGTTGAAACCCCATTGCTACTAAAAATATAAAAATTAGCTGAGTGTGGTGGTAGGCACCTATAATCCCAGCTACTTAGGAGGATCACTTGAACCTGGGAGGCAGAGGTTGCATTGAGCCGAGATCATACCATTGCACTCCAGCCTGGGTGACGAGTGAAACTCTGTGTCAAAAATAAATAAATAGTGGCCAGGCACGGTGGCTCAAGCCTGTAATCCCAGCACTTTGGGAGGCCGAGGCGGGTGGATCACTAGGTGAAGAGATCAAGACCATCCTGGTCAACATGGTGAAACCCCGTCTCTACCAAAAAAAAAAAATACAAAAAAAAATTAGCTGGGCATGGTGGCGCGTGCCTGTGATCCCAGCTACTCAGGAGGCTGAGGCAGGAGAATTGCCTGAACCCAGGAGGTGGAGGTTGCAGTGAGCCGAGATCGTGCCATTGCACTCCAGCCTGGGTAACAAGAGCGAAACTCCATCTCAAAAATAAATAAATAAATAAATAGTAAAATAAAATAAAATGAGGTATACAAATTTTAAGTGTACATTCACTGACTTTTGAATCTGACCTAAACCCCTATTGAAATGTAGGCTTCCGCTAGGCATGATGATTCATACCTATAATCCAAACACTTTGAAAGTCCAAGCTGGGAGGATTGCTTGAGCCCAGGAGTTCAAGACCAGCCTGGGTGATATCACAAGACCGCATCTCTACAAAAGACTAAAAAAAATTAGTAGGACATGGCAATCGGTGCCTATAGTTTCAGCTACTTGAAAAGCTGAGATGGGAGGATCATTCAGCTCAGGAGTTCAAGGTTACAGTGAGCTGCAGTAACATCATTGCACTCCAAAAAAAAAAAAAGAGATGTACACTCTTACCATCACTCAGGAAGTTTCCTCATGCCTTTTCCCAGTGAGTCCACATACCCACAGAGGCAACCACTGTTTTAACTTTCTTTCCCATGTACTTCAGTTTTTGCCTCTTCTTGAACTTATTTAAATGGGTTCATGCAATTTGTGGTCTTTTATGTCTGGCTTTTGAGACTTATCCATGTTGCTGTGTATATCTGTGGGTCCTTTTCAGTACAGGGTAGTACTCCATTGCTTGAATGTGTCCCAGTGTATTTATCCATTTTCCTACTGACAGACTCGGGCTGTCTCAGGTTGTTCATCTGTTATGAACAAGATGCTATGAATATTCTTGTATAGGTCTTTCTGGATCATAGGATAGTTGCATATTTAATTTCATAAGAAATTGCCAAAGTGTTCCCACCACGTATGAGAGTTTTAGTTGCTGACATTTATGATCATCAACTTAATTTTAGCCATTTCGATGGGTGTGTAGTGGTAACTCGTGAGTTAAATTAGCATTTCTTTGATGACTGATATTGGGCATTTTTCATGTGCTTTTCAGTCACTCATCTATTTTTTTGTGAAGTTTCTCTTTATATATTTTGCCTGTTTTTTAATATGGGTTATGTATTTGTTATTGGTGATAGGAGTTCTTTATATATTCTGGAGTACAGTTCATTGTCAGATAAATATACATATGGTTTTTTTTTTTTTTTTTTTTTTTTTGAGATGGAGTCTCACTTTGTCACTTAGGCAGGAGTACAGTGGTACAACCTCAGCTCACTGCAACCTCCATCTCCCGGGTTCAAGCAGTTCTCCTGCCTCAGCCTCCCAAGTAGCTGAGATTACAGGTGCTCGTTGCCATGCCCGGCTAATTTTTGTATTTTTAGTAGAGATGGGGTTTCACCATGTTGGCCAGGATGATCTTGATCTCCTGATGTTGTGATCCGCCCTCTTTGTCCTCCCAAAGTGCTAGGATTACAAGCGTGAGCCACAGCCCTTGGCCACATGTGTGTTTTTTAATTTTGAAGACAGAATATTTCTAGATGCTCTGGAAGGATACCGCTACACTGGAATAGTGATTACTTTTTGCAAACAAAACTGGGGATATGGAACATAGTGAGAGAGACTTAATTTTACATGCTTGTCTATCTTGGGAATTATTTTTTTCTAACCATTCTTAACACATATATATGTTAAGAAATTGAAAATTTTTAAATTGATGTCATCTGTTTCTCTCGGAGTGAATAATTCAATACACTCTTAACCAGTAAGAAAGAGGCGACCCAGAGACCACCTGTGGGAACAGATGGGAAACTAGGATGGGGAAGAAGGTGACCTTCAAACTGTTTTCATAGAATAAGGGATTGTCAACAAGGTACAGTGGTTCACACCTATAATCCCAGCACTTTGGGAGGCCAGGGCAGGTGGATCACCTGAGGTCAGGAGTTTGAGACCAGTCTGGACAACATGGTAGAACCTCATCTCTACTAAAAATACAAGCATTAGCCAGGTATGGTGGCATGTGCCTGTAATTCCAGCTACTTGGGAGACAGATAGGAGAATCGCTTGAACCTGGGAGGCAGCGGTTGCAGTGAGCCAAGATTGCACTGCTGCACTCCAGCCTGGGCAACAAAGTGAGATTCTGTCTCAAAAAGAAACCAAGAAGAATAAGAGATTGTAGACTCAATAAACGTTGTCCTTTCTTTCAGTGAGATTATTGGAAAAGATGTGTGAATTTAGCCACTTTTATGGGTTTTTTTGTTGTGTTAAGTGTGTATATATTTATATGGATGTATTTTCTCATGTTTCTTACTAAAGGCCTCTGAAAATGTTTTAACAAACATGTGCCATCTGGTGTTTTTTAGGAAGTATATAATAGTTCAAAATCTAGCAAAATTAAACTGCAGAGATTTTTTTAATGTCTGTTGTAGACCTCAAGGGGTTAATGCTATATGTGTGCAGATGGGGTTTTTTCATGATAATGGAGCTGATACTTCATTGTGCCTTTTTCTCTTTCTTGGTTTTCAAGGCTTTGATAAAATTCAAGAGTTATTTGTATTTTGAGGAAAAAGACTTTGTGGATAAAGCAGAGAAGAGCCTGAAACAGACTCCGCATAGTGAGGTAAGTCATGGCCATAAGAACATTAGAATCATAAGGCCTTGAGGGTTAAGACTCATTCCTTCATTATGAAAGTGAGGATGAGGCCCAGAGGGGAACAAAGGGGCATCCGGTAGCCCCACTGGCCAGCAGCAAGCTTACCCTCTGCTTATTGTGCTTTGCTGTTAGAGGCATGATCCTGTTCTTTCCGGATCACTCTGTAAAATGTATAAAAACAGTGGCCTGGCCAGTCATGGCGAATCACAAGGTCAGGAGTTTGAGACCAGCCTGGCCAACATGGTCAAACCCTATCTCTACTAAAAATACAAAAATTAGCCCGATGTGGTGGTGTAGCCCTCTAGTCCCAGCTACTTGGGAGGCTAAAGTAGGTGAATTGCTTGAGCCCGGCAGGTGGAGGTTGCAGTGAGCCAAGATTGCGCCACTACACTCCAGCCTGGGTGACAAAGTAAGACACCGTCTCGGAAAAAAAATCAAAATAAAACAGTGGCCTGATGGGGAATCTACAGGAGACTGAGGAAGCAAGTCCAGTGTCTTTGTTCTTTATCAGAGGGAAGGTATTAAGTCCAAAGACAGGGAAACTCGAGTGGGAGAGTAGACCCTGTGGTATGGCCCGGGGCACTAGGGTGTAATGGCTCACTCAGTGTCCTTCAGAACTCTCCTGCCTCCTCTTCCCGGGTTGCTGAGAACATGCCTACCCAAGGTCAGAGCACAGTAAGAGAAAGGCTGGCATATCTGGGCCAGCCACAAGGGCCAAAAGTAAAAAAGGAAATGGGGTGGAGAGGAAGAAAGTTAAGAGCTGGAAATATTTTTTTCATAAAAATGCTAATGCTGTGAATCCACCCAGGACACTAATAGAAGGACATGTAGGTGAAATAAAGAAACTAGAGTTTCAGCTATTTTTGGGAAAGAAATACTAAAGAGAAACAGTTACTAGATCTAAAGATGCAATAACCTGAGAATATTGAAGGCCCCTCTTGCTAAGAAGAGAAGGGAATCTTTTCTGAAGAACACATACAGTGGTCAAGAGAGAATATTCAGTGTAATTCTGGAAGAGAAAGGACAAATAGGGTTCAGAGATATGACATAAGAGTCTTAGAGCCAGGCACGGTGGCTCACGCCTATAATCCCAGCACTTTGGGAGGCCGAGGCGGGTGGATCATGAGGTCAAGAGATTGAGACCATCCTGGTCAACGAGGTGAAACCCCGTCTCTACTAAAAATACAAAAAATTAGCTGGGCACGGTGGTGCGTGCTTGTAGTCCCAGCTACTCGGGAGGCTGAGGCAGGAGAATTGCTTGAACCCAGAAGGCAGAGGTTGCGGTGAGCTGAGATCGTGCCATTGCACTCCAGCCTGGGTAACAAGAGCGAAACTCCATCTCAAAAAAAAAAAAAGAGAGTCTTAGAGAACTCCAAAGTTAAAAAGCAGAAGTGAGAACTGACGAAAGGAAAGGGATTGATAGATGAATAAGCATTCTTAAACAGGTGTGGTCCCAGAGAGTCCATGGAAGGCCAGCTTACTTAAAAAAAATAATTGTAGAGATGGGGGTCTCACTATGTTGCCCAGGCTAGTCTTGAACTCCTGGCCTCAAGTAATCCTCTCTCCTCAGCCTCCCAGCTTACTTTTATAAATACAATGCAATGAATAATAAAATATAGAACCATTTGGTATATGTAGCACAGAAATTCAGAAAACAACACCCAGGAGTTTGAGACCAGCCTGGGCAATATAGTGAGATCACGTCTCTACAAGAAAATTTTACAATTAGCTGGATGTGGTGGTGTACACCTGTAGTCCCAGCTACTTGGGAGTGTGCTATGGAGGACCACTTGATCCCAGGAAGTTGAGGCCACAGTGAGCCAAGATCACACCACTGCACTCCAGCATGGGTGACAGAGCGAGGCCCTGTCTCAAAAAAAAAAGAAGCCTGAATAGTGCATATTAATGTCCTTTGAAAAATCTAAGGTATTATATAAATTGAAGATGTTCTTGTTACACAGTTATGTACTGTTCTTGGGTATGTTATTACCAGTCTTGCAGTAGCACTTCTAAGGTATTTTCCTGGAGAGTTCCTCTTTTTGTTCTTTTTTACAATTGTGAAGTAAAATCATGGTTTTTGTTTCAGATAATATTTTATAAAAATGGTGTCAATCAAGGTGTGGCTTACAAAGATATTTTTGAGGGAGTTTACTTTCCAGCCATCTCACTGTACAAGAGCTGCACGGTATGTACATGTTTACATCCCATGAACAAAACTGGAGGGAAGCAGATGAATGGGTCATGATGACAAAGTTACTGGGTGCTGGAAAGAAATCCAGGCAGCCTCAGATTGGCATGCGCATGTGTTGCTACCATTACTGTTCAGTCCAAAAACACTTGGGTGGCTTAAGAAGTATTTGCTGGGTAGAAAAAGGTGCTGCAATTAATGTGTGCGTTACTTTTCCCTTGTGTGTGTGGTGTGGTGTTATTGTTCAATGGGAAGAATAAGAATACACATACACAAATCCTCCTGGTGGGATGTCATGCTAACCAACCATTATTAATCATTGTTGCATTTATTTATTTGTTTTTTTGAGACAGGGTCTCATTCTGTTCCATAGGCTCACCATAGCTTTGATCTCCTGGGCACAAGTGATCCTCCCACCCCAGCCTCCATAATAGCTGGGACTAAGGGAGTGCTGATTTTTTGGTTTTTGTTTTTGTAGAGACAAGATCTCACTATATTTCCCTGGCTGGTCTCAAATTCATGTGCTCAAGCAGTTCTCCCAGCTCAGCCTCCCAAAGTGCTAGGATTAGACAGACATGAGCTACCATGTCTGGCAATTTTTTTTTTTTTTGTAATATCCAACATGAAGAAGGGGATTATCATTAGAGCCTGTTGGTGTTGTGTGTGGATATATGTGTGTGTGTACATATATATATATATATATAAAAGTTGGCCAGGCAGGTTGGCTCATGCTTGTAATCCCAGTGCTTTGGGAGGCCGAGGTAGACGGTTCACAAGGTCTGGAGTTCAAGACCATGGCCAACATGGTGAAACCCTGTCTACTAAAAATATAAAAATTAACCAGGCGTGGTAGCGAGTGCTACTCAGGAAGCTGAGGCAGAAGAATTGAAAGAAAGAAAAGTTAATGCATGGAGATTTCCATGTATTTTTAGTCTGTCAGTAGGCACCATTGAAGCAGGTTAAAAGAAGGAAATCTTTAGTTTGCAAACAGTGTAAACCAAAAACTGAGACAGATCTCAATCAATTTAGAAGTTCATTTTGCCAAGGTTAAGGACCTGCCCATAAGAAAAAAACACAGAATCACAGAAACAGTCCAGGAGGTCCTTGACCTCCTGGGCGCAGGTGATCCTCCCACCTCAGCCTCCATAGGTCTGTGTCTTTCTCCAAGGATGAATTCGAGGACTTAAATATTGAAAGGAGAAAAGGCGCTAGGGGGAGTGGCTCACGCCGGTAATCCCAAAGATTTGGGAGGCCAATGTAAGAGAATCAATTGAGCCCAGGAGCTCAAGACCAGCCTGGGAAACATAGCAAAATCCTGTCTCTACAAAAAATTAGCCAGGCATGGTGGTACATGTCAGAAGTCCCAGCTACATGGGAGGCTATGTTGGGAGGATCACCTGAGCCCAGAAGGTCAAGGCTACAGTGAGCCTTGATCACACTGTTGCACTCCAGCCTGGACAACAGAGTCAGACATTGTCTCAAAAAAAATACAAAGTAGGCCCAACACGGTGGCTCATGCCTATAATCCCAGCACTTTGGGAGTCCAGGGTGGGCAGATCACAAGGTCGGGAGTTAAGACCAGCCTGGCCAACATGGTGAAAATCCATTTCTACTAAAAATACAAAAAATTAGCTGAGCTTGGTGGCTGACACCTGTAATCCCAGCTACTCATGAGGCTGAGGCAAGAGAATTGCTTGAACCCGGAAGGTGGAGGTTGCAGTGAGCCAAGATCATGTCACTGCTGTACAGCCTGAGTGACAGAGCAAGACTCCATCTCGGAAAATAACAAATAAATAATAATAATAAAAAGTAAAATAAAGGGGAAATGAGGCCTGTAGAGGAAAGTGGGAAGGTATGGTCATCCACTTGTTGCAAGAGAAAAGGAGCAGATAGGGGAACAGTCAATCATGTTTTCATCTTGTGCTCAGTAAGTCGGCACTTTACATAAGATAAGGTGAACATAAAGTGGCTACCTATGGGGATATTTAACCTTTATCCATAGGTATCTGCTTAGGAACAAAGGAAAGGCAGTTTCTTGCATAACTCAGCTTTCAGCTTAATTTTTTCCTTTTGACAGCAAATTGGGATCCTGACTTTTTATTTTTCTTTGACAACAGAAATCAACACAGACCTATTTTAGTTATCGAATCCTTAACGGACATCAGGATGTTGACCACTTTTAGTAATATTTAATATATATATATATCATTTGTTCCACTTATCCCCCAAATATTACAGCCATGTTTAAAATGAAAATTTCCTATGTCAAATTAACTTTTCCAATATTTTTTGTCTGTTTTTTCCACGCCTACTTGAATTAAATTCTCTCCAGGTTTCCATTAACTTTGGACCATGCTTCAAGTATCCTCCGAAGGATCTCACTTACCGCCCTGTGAGTAACTTACAAATGCCCGCTTTCGTCCTCAGCATCCTTGGCTCTCGCCGTGGCTGCTCTAGTCACTGTTCCGTTTCTCATTCCTCCTGCAGATGAGTGACATGGGCTGGGGTGCCGTGGTAGAGCACACCCTTGCTGACGTCTTGTATCACGTGGAGACAGAAGTGGATGGGAGGCGCAGCCCCCCGTGGGAACCCTGACCAGGTCCCTTTTTCTTTTCAAACGAGGACTTTCTAGGGAATAATACTGGGGGTTATGTTTTCATTGTAGAACTGTCTCAGATGTTCTCCTAAAGATACTACAGAACACAGCCTGTCCTGGTAGCAAGTTAAAAGGCTGGGTAGGACTGCGGGAGGCTGCCTGCCCTTCACCATTTTCTCCCCACTTCCAGTAACTGCTCTTATTTTGTGTGCCAACAACTGCTGACTCCAGGATTGCGTAAGCCCCTGTGAAATTGGTGCTGTACCACATACCCTGCCAGCTGGGACTTGTTATCCTACTGTATTTTCTAAGGAGTGAATAATCTTGTCTGAGTAACTAACTTATTTAAGACATTTCCTTCTGTGGGCATTGATTCCATCTCACCTGTTTTCCAAGGAAATGGTAACCTGTTTATGAGAACACATGAAATCAATGGCTGTACATTTCAAACCAATCTAAAAGCTATTTCCTTTTGGTGCGGGTTTGGTTTTGTTGTTCGTTTTGAAATACACTTTTGAAAACTGAGATCCCTGAAGCTACTAGATCTCCAGAAGTGTAATTGTGAAAGAAACTTGCTTGCAATTTTAACAAAATGAGAAACTTACCAAATAAAATGTGTTTTGAAGTTTGTGTGACACTTTGCTTCCCTGCAGGTTGAGTGCCTCTTCGTGACAGTGTTCAGAAATGTGGGCAGCATGAGGAAGGGAGCTGGCACTGGGAAGAAGAGCTGGGTTTCTGACTTATGTCTTGGCTGCTTTCCTGTTGCTCCCATTCTTGCCAATCAGCCACCCACTTACCTGTGAAAATCTGCCACCTTGAGGAGAGGAACAAGGGTTTGAGACGGAGTTTCTTTCTTGTCACCCAGGCTGGAGGACAGGCTAGTGGTGCCATCTCGGCTCCCGGTTCAAGCAATTCTCCTACCTCAGCTTCTCGAGTAGCTGGCATTACAGGCACATGCCACCATGCCCAGCTAACTTGTATTTTTCATAGAGACGGGGTTTTACCATGTTGGCCAGGCTGGTCTCAAACTCCTGACCTCAGGTGATTCACCTGCCTCAGCCTTCCAAAGTGCTGGGATTACAGGCGTGAGCCACCATGCCTGGCCCCTGGAACAAGAATTCCAAAGAGCTAATGGTCTCCCTCCAGCTCCTCCCTTATTATGAGCTGCGGATGTTGATATATGCAGATGGTTTTCTGTCTTACTTGTCTTCCTTTGCCCTTAGCTGATGGCTAAATGGCAACTTCCAGACTATTAAAGACTGAAATGTAAGAATGAGCCTTCCAGCCTTGGTGGTGCATGCCTGTAATCCCAGCACTTTAGGAGGCCGAGGCAGGTGGATCACTTGAAGTCAGGAGTTCGAGACCAGCCTGGCCAACATAGTGAAACCCCGTCTCTACTAAAAATACAAAAATTAGCCGGGTGTAATGGCACGTACCTGTAATCCCAGCTACTCGGGAAGCTGAGGCAGAGAATCACTTGGACCCAGGAGGCAGAGGTTGTAGTGAGCTGAGATGGTACCATTGCACTCCATCCTGGGCAACAGAACCAGACTCTCAAAAAAGAAAAAAAGAGGCCAGGCGCAGTGGCTCACGCCTATAATCCCAGCACAGTGGGAGGCTGAGGCAGGTGGATCATGAGGTCAAGAGATCGAGACCATCCTGGTCAACATGGTGAAACCCCGTCTCTACTAAAAATACAAAAATTAGCTGGGCATGGTGGCGCATGCCTGTAGTCCCAGCTACTCAGGAGGCTGAGGCAGGCTTGAACCCAGGAGGCAGAGGTTGTGGTGAGCCGAGATCGTGCCACTGCACTCCAGCCTGGGTAACAAGAGCGAAACTCCGTCTCAAAAAAAAGAAAAAGCCTTCCAGACATGCAGGCCCACGCCTATAATCAGCATTTTGGGACATCAAGGCAGAAAGATTGCTCAAGATGAGGAGTTTAAGACCAGCCTAGGCAACATACCAAGACCCCTTTTCTATAAAAAATTAGCGAGACATGATGGCACATGCCAGTAGTCCCAGCTACTTTGGAGGCTGAGATGGGAGGATCACTTGGGCCCAGGAGTTCGAGGCTGCAGTGAGCCATGCTTGCCCCACTGCACTCCAGCTTAGGTGACAGAGCAAGACCTTGTATCAAAAAAAAAAAAGTCTTCCTTTTGTATTCCTTTATAGTTCCCTGGTCTAACTTTTCAAATATGTCAGTCGTATAAGAGCAAAGGCAGCCCTCTCAGGATTGCCCAAAGACTTCTGCATTTACCTCTCTACCTCAGTTAATAGGTAGAGTGGCTCACCATGTGGTGGGTGACATGCTGCTGCAGAGTCACCCTGTTAGGCCTCTAGCTCTTGTGAATATCTTGTTATTTTCCTGTTTGAGTTCCCACACTTGAAGAGAATATTGGTGTTTTAACATAGTAGCATTGACTAACATATTTGTCTCCTGATGAATCACTCAGACACTTTGATTTGGCCACTCCATATCTCTGAACAGGAAAGCTCTTATAGATGGAGTGTGATTGGAGGCTGAGCTTCAGCCCTAGACACCTATTAATGCATGAGCTGTTCAAGGGCAGACCTGGTTATAAAGCTTCTGGGTCATCGGAAGGAGTCCTCTGAAGGACTCGAAGAAAATGAGGGTGGTACTATTTAGAGGAAGCTGAATGTTAACTATTTGTAATATAAATTACCACATATAAGTTGTATACCCACTCTCCATCTAAATTACAAAATTAGCTTTTGTATATATTTGATTTTCACAAATCAAAGGTTACAGGTAATAATGTTCTTCTCAAACTTCAAAAGTGTGTGTGTGTTCATTTGAAGGGCTCAGAGAATGTCTACTTTTCACATAGTCCTGTATAAAATAGTTTCTGTAATCAGGTCAACAGTGATAACTTTTTTATTCCAGTGTAAAATTAAACAAGTGGGAAGATATCCACGGAGACCACAAAGACACAATTACATAGTTTGAAGGAGGCAATTAGAATCCAGCAAACCAGTGTGTTTGTTAAAAAGCCCATTTCTCGACTGTCAGCCTTTTTCTTGAAACTAGAATATATGTTGCTTTAAGGTATCTATAAACAAGTAACCATTTTCTCTTAGCTGGTAGTGGATGATAATTCCCTTTTAGAAATACTTCTCTACAACTGTCCTCTCTCGACTCAGAGGCTCCTAGATAAACAATAATTTTATCCATGCCAAAAATAAACTAAGAAACAATCAGAATAAATTATAATAAATACCTCTACTAGTTGTAAAATTTTAACACCTCAGTAAATGCCACAGTGTTCCCACTAATGCTTTTTAAAAATTTTTTAATTTAGTTTGTCATAATTTGGTTTCATCTACTCCTTTGTCTTCTTTTTTTTTAGATGGAGTCTCACTATCTTGCCCAGACTGGTCTCGAACTGCTCTCCAGCAGTCCTCCCATCTCATCCTTCAGAGTAGCTGGCATTGTGGGTAGGCACCACCATGCCCAGCTCCTGTTTTATAATATATAAGCCAGAGCTCTATTTCCAAATGGTGCAAATCATCAGTGCTATTAAAACAAGAATGGAAAAGCTTCAGGTGGTAATGGTGATTTTTTTCATCCTCCCCTATACTCTCATCCCTCTGTGTGTGTGTGTGATTTTTTTTTTTTTTTTTTTTTTTTTTTTTGAGACTGTCTCACTTAATCACCCAGGCTGAATTGCAGTGGATCCATCTTGGCTCACTGCAACCTCTGCCTCCACATTCAAGTGATTCTCCTGCCTCAGCCTCGTGAGTAGCTGGAATTACAGGCATGTGCCATCACACCTAGCTAATTTTTCTATTTTTAGTAGAGACAGGGTTTCGCCATGTTGGCCAGGATGGTCTTGAACTCCTGACCTCAAGTGATCTGCACACCTTAGCCTCTGAAAGTGCTGGTTTTACAGGCATGAGCCACCACGCCCAGCCCCAATATATATTTTTAAAGCTTAAATTCTCTGATTCCTGGGAAAGGGAATTTGCTTTCACCATATTACCCCTTCATCCAGTCACTTCTCCCAAAATACTAACTTTTAGTCTATTTAAGCAGAGAGATTAGCAGCCCCAAATCAAGTCGACAGCTGTGGAATTCTCTCAGCTACTAATTGGCATCATAAGTAACAGAAATGTTACCTAATACTGATTATTCTCTCATGTTTGGCACTGTCTTTCCTTTTAATTAGGTAAATAAACATTCTCAGTTATAACCGTCTTCCAGGGCCCGTTAATCAGCTATTGCTTAAGTTCTTTAAGAACTCATTTAGGTTGTGCTTATCATGGAAATTACGTTTTTATGAAAGATCCTGGTAACAGAGTCTAAATAACTGAATTGCATAAATTCCCAGTAGTTCCTTTCCTTTTAATGAGCCTGACTAATTTAGTTTAACTAATTAAAAGCTTTGTCTCAGACTTCTCTAATGTGAAGTTGTAATCTAGTATAGATTTTTAAAAATACAATATTAAAACATACAAACTGATGTTTTTGTATGAATTAGGATTCTTTATTCTGACTGGTGCCTGCAGAAGCAATAGGGAAACCTATCTAGTTTTGTCTTTTTCCATAGAGAAAGCTTGGACTATATTTCTGGAAGGCACCCACTGTGGGGTGCTGCTTGTTCTGTGGTGTTGCCGTGCAGCAACTGGGAGCAGTGGAGGGCTGCCGGAGACCCTCTGAGATTCTGCTTTGTGCACTCACGCTGCCTGCAGGGCATGGCATTCTTGAGCCTATAAAGGAAGACTTCCTGGGCCCTGTGGTTAGTATCCCCTGCACCCATATCAGCCACTAGCATTTTAAAGATGGTTTTAGGTGGGCACGTAAGGACCCAGAAAAAAGTTTTACAATTACTTCATGTCATAGTTAATCAGTGAATGATGTTACCTTTTAATCCAAGAACCTCATCCCTGTTTTCTTGGTACTAAAAACTTTAACAATCTGAATCCTAGTGTCGTACTCTGAACACTAACCCCACCCATCCCACTGTCGCCCGATGGAGATCTTAGACTTGCAGGCTTCCAGCGGGATTCTTCTAATGAGCGTCCACACCAGTGCAGCTGGGCACAACTGGGAACAGCAGGCTGGTCTTCAACACCTGGCTTCAGAGGCAGGGTAGGACTCGAGGCGCTTGCGCAGGTGGTTGGCAAAATCCACCTGGGTCTGGGACAGAACCTGGTTGATGATGCTCTTGGGCAGCCACCCCTGCAGTAGAAGGTAGGAGAATTTGGCCATCTTGTGGGTGATGGCCCATATAGACCCTCTGTACCCTATCATAAACAGGCTGCCAGGGGCTTGGTCTTCAAGCTCTGTTAATAGGTACAGCCTTTGAATTGGCCAGGTCAGGGGCCAGAGGACTGCCTTGCTGCCCTGCTGTCGTGACTTTCAGAAGCACAAAGACTGGCCAACGTTTCAGCCTGGTCTTCCCAGTTGTGTGACCCTGAACAAGTATGTCACCTTTTTCATGCTTCAGATCTCTGGACCTAAGTTTTCTCCTTTCCAAAATGATAACTACATATAGAGTTGAACTTTGCTATGAGACAGAAGAAGGCCGGGCACAGTGGCTCACACCTGTAATCCCAACACTTTGGAAAGCTGAAGTGGGCGGATCACTTGTCAGGAGTTCGAGACAGCCTGGCCAACATAGTAAAACCCTGTCTCTACTAAAAATACAAAATTAGACAGGTGTGGTGGCACACACCTATAGTCCCAGCTACTCAGGAGGGTGAGGTGGGAGAATCACTTGAACTCAGGAGGCAGAAGTTGCAGTGAGCTGAGACCATGTCATTGTTCTCCAGCCTAGGTGACAGAGTGAGACTACATCTCAAAAAAAAAAAAAAAAAAAAAAAGGCCAGGCAGTGCCTGTAATCCCAGCACTTTGGGAGGTCGAGGCAGGCAGATCACAAAGTCAGGAGTTTGAGACCACCCAGGCCAACATAGTGAAACCCCATCTCTACTAAAAATACAAAATTTAGCCAGCGATGGTGATGTGTGCCTGTAGCCCCAGCTTACTCAGGAGGCTGAAGCAGGAGAATCACTTGAACCTGGGAAGTGGAGGTTGTAGCGAGCCGAGATTGTACCACTGCACTCCAGCCTGGACAACAGAGCAAGACCTCGTCTCAAAAAAAAAAAAGAGGGAGCCATCACAGGCTTTGGAGATGGTAGAGTAGCAATTAGGCCATCACTCACGGCCCTTCCTTTTCTTACAGCCTATGATTGTATCAGAATGGAAGAGGATTCTTTATGCTGCCTGGGGGAGGGGAAGAGCCTGTTTTTCTCACTACCACCTGCCCCCCCGGAGCCATCTCCCATGCCCTTCACCTTGAGGTCGATGCTGAGCAACCACGTGAGTTTGGTCTTGGAGGGAGTTCCCGCCAGCGGGTGAAGCACCATACAAGTGGGACCATGTTCCGCCCTGGCAAATGGAGAAGTCAAGTCAGGAGGACAGTTGTGAGCTGAGTTCTCTCTTGCACTGGCTTGTTACACCAGTACCGTAGATACACGTTTCTAGGGTAACTTGTCATTTCTAAGTCTCATCAGGGAAGTACCCTTTGCCAAGGGTAATTATTTGGCAGTTGGCACGGTTACCACCTCATGAGAATAAAGCCTGCTTGTAGCTGGAGCGGCCCCTGAGGCTGCTCGTGCCCTTTAGTTGCTGGATTACAGGCAGGTCAAGGAAAGGATTCAGGCTGGTGGCTGGGCTGGGGCCTTGTGAAATTCAGGAGGCCATGATGTTCTAAGTGGTATGGTTTATTTCAATATTTTAGTCAACATTACAGCTGTGCCTGAGCATACTAGCTGAACCTCAGCCCTGCCCCATCCTTCAGAAAATAATAAAGGTTCCTAAACTTTCTGGGAGGGTCAGGGCAAGTTTAAGGTTCTTAAACTTTCTGGGAGGTTCAGGGCAAGTTTAAGGTTCTTAAACTTTCTGGGAGCTGTCTGGCTGGCCAGGTAGGGCCTATCTTGTCCTTGTCCCCTGCTTTGGTAAATAAGTATCTTCTTTTGCACAAGGAAGCCCTGGTTGGGGATCAAGGGTTGATTTCTTGGAGCTGGGGATGCAGTCCACATGTTTGGGTGCATACCTGCAGGCCTATGTTGGAAGAGGGGTTTGGGAGCCTACCACCCATATTACCTGATGACACCCTTCTGCTCAGGCATGTTCCCGAACTCTGTGGCCATGCCAGCCAGCACACAGGTAGAGCCTCGGCGCTTGGCACAGCGCACGCTCACAAAGTCACGAGGCCCCACCAGGTTTCCTGCTGCCTCTGCAGCCAGCTCATGGGTAATGACTGTATCTTTTCCAATCTTCTGCAGGACCTACCAGGCCATGGGGAACCAGAATCACAACTCAGCCCGTGTTGAGCTAAACACCCCCCATAGCTAGGGGTCCCATCTTTGATCCACCATTTCCACTGGGCTCTCGTGGGCCCCTGCCACCCACACCTGGACTTTGCTTACCTTGATCTCCTTGACACTGGGGTTCCACTCCCCCATTGCCTCCATGCGCTCCACGAGCTCTTCATAGAGCCTCTCCATGGGCTGGTCCACCACAACCTCCAGCCGGAACACCTTGCCCACATCTGGGACCACTTTACTCATCACTTTGTCCCCATTGTCCTGTCAGAGAAGGGAGCCCCCAGAAGAGGGTTAGACAAAAATATTCTTGGCTGGCTACAGTGGTTCACGCCTGTAATCCCAGCATTTTGGGAGACCGAGGCCAGTGGATCACAAACTCAAGAGTTCAAGACGAGCCTGGCCAAGATGGTGAAACCTCGTTTCTATTAAAACTACAAAAATCAGCCAGGCACGGTGGTGGGCACTTGTAATCCCAGCTACTCAAGAGGCTGAGGCAGACGAATTGCTTGAACCGGGTGGCAGAGGTTGCAGTGAGCCGAGATCGCACCACTGCACTCCCGCCTGGGTGACTTAGACTCCATCTCAAAAACAAACAAACAACAACATATATATATATATATACATATTTTTTTAGCCTAGGTCTCATAGATGATACCAGGCAAGATGGGAAGGGGAACAGCAAAGGAACTTTAAGCTGAGCACGAGGAAGCCTGGATCTGTCCTAAGATAGAGTTGGTAATCATTGTTGCCATGGCCTTGTGCGTCTGCTGATGACTGGAGATTACCTGCTGTCACTGGGCCCTTTTTTACATTTTTTTCTTGTTTTTTTGAGACAGAGTCTCACTCTGTTGTTGTCCAGGCTGGAGTGCATTACAATCATGTGCAGTGACATAATCTCAACCTCCTGGGCTCAAGTAATCCTTTTAGTTGAGTCTCCCAAGTAGTTGGGACTACAGGCTTGCATTTTTTTTATTTTTTATTTTTTATAGAGATCTTGTGTTGCTCAGGCTGGTCTCAAACTCCTAGGTTCAAGCAGTCCTCCTGTCTCAGCCTCCTGGCATAAGCCACTGTGCCCAGCCCCCCTGGACCCTTTGTTTTGGTGGCGAATGATGGTGGTATGGGCAGGTCCAACTGAAAAGACCCTTACTTGACTTCAGAAGCTCAAGGATCCCAAGAGAGAAACCTGGGAGTGGGAAAAATGGTTTACATTAGCTTAACATGGAATGTTGATGAGATCTTAAAAATTTGTTTTAGTTCAGTGCCTCGTTCCACACCAGAAGAACGTGGGGCCAGAGAAGGCCAGTGATTGGCCAAGGAACCCTTAGCTAAGAGTAGTGCTGGCCTAAGTCCCGGGTTCCTTGACTCCCAAATGAGTAGTCTGGTAACTCCATTACTCTGAGAACTTAGGGAAGGAGGGGTTCTACCTGAACTTGGGTAGTGGGCAGCATTTCAGCTTTTGATGAAGGTAAAGCCACCAAAGTCTCCGTAACAGAGCCACCAGCATTTACTGTGAACCTGGTTACTGTCCCCAGTGATGGGGCAATGCTCAAGCGCAGAGAACCCCAGAACGCCGTGGGCCACTCTGTGTTCTAGTCCATGCCTGTTGCAGGGTGAGCCCACGTCACCCCTGCAAACCCCGCCACAGGTGGGCTGACAGGACAAGACAGTGCACTTTGGTGTCTTTAGGAGACCTGACCCAGGGCGATGAGGACTCGTGTGCACTTAGGAGTCCCCCTTGCATGGTCCCTGCCAAGTGGGTCCACAATGCAATCCTATCCTGTAGCTAAGGACACAGGAATAGTGTTTCTCCAACAGGACTCTCCAGGGTGCCTTCTATGGGGGAAAAGCATTAATCTGAGAATATATTCTTGGGCGAGTTCTCAAGTTAGAACCACTGGCTGCCCAGTGACTGATGCGAGACAGGAATTCTGGGAAGAACAGTACCCCCAGCTGGCCTTGAGGATGGCAGTGGAGCAAAGGAGGAACCACAGGCCTCTCCCCCATGCTTACCTGCTGGCTCTCCTTCTTCCAGCCCTCCTGGTTGCTAAGGATGCCCAAGGCTTTCTGCATGGCTTCCTCCCCCTGTCGGAGATAAGCCAGCTCCTGGTCACTGTAGAGAGTCTCTTCCAGCCGAGAACCTGGTGTACACAGCCGAAGAGAGACAGAGCTTCCTTCATCTCCCAGCCTCCACCAGCTCTCATCCCTGGAACTCTGCGTCTGCTCTTTCCTCTGAAGAGCCAGGATTAAAGCCATAGGGGCCAGCCTGCTGGTCGAGTTAGACACAGCCACCACAGGTGACCTGAGGGGGATCTGACCTTGAGGAACTCTAGCTGGGAATGTTCTGTCAAAATGAAAGAAGGGCAGGAGGGGAGCCAAAGCCACATGCGCTACATCACCCTCCCAGGAGCTTCCTGCCAGCACCGGGAGCCCAGAAGCCTCAGCACTTACCAAGCAAAGAGCTCCGCCGCCGAACCTGGTTAATCCATGCACTAGGGGTGGGGTCCCCCAGGGCCCTCCGGTTCAACTCCTGGCCAATGGCCATCACAGCCTGTTGCCTCAGCCCTGCAGGGAAGGAAGAACCCTTTTCTAGGAGCTAGAAAGCCCCTTAGAGATGGACCATTTACCTCCTCATCTTGTCACAAATGAAGAAGTTGGCTTGGAGAGGGAAGTGACTTGCTCAGGAGCACACAGGACTCTAGCAGGGACCTGAACTAGACCCAGGCCCCCAACTCCCACTGCAGTGCTCCAGGGTACAGAAATCTAACTTCCATCTAGGGTGGTCAGGCCTGGCCCTGCCTGGAGACGGGATGTACCAGAGCCTGCTGGATTTCTGTCCCTAAAGGGGAAGAAGCTGTGTTCAAACAACCAGAAAAATCCTACTTCAGAAGGAGAATACAACCCTTGAGGTCTGTGTGCTTGCATGCATCTGTGCTTACATGAGGTCTGTGTGCTTGCATGAGTCCGTGTGCTTGCATGAGTCTATGTGCTTGCATGTATCTGTGCTTGCATGAGTCCATGTGCTTGCATGTATCTGTGCTTGCATGAGTCCATGTGCTTGCATGTATCTGTGCTTGCATGAGTCCGTGTGCTTGCATGTATCTGTGCTTGTATGAGGTCTGTGTGTTTACATGAGTCTGTGCTTGCATGAGTCTGTGTGCTTGCATGTATCTGTGCTTGCATGAGTCCGTGTGCTTGCATGAATCTGCATGCTTGCATGAGTCTGTGTGCTTGCATGTATCTATACTTGCATGAGTCTGTGTGCTTGCATGTATATGTGCTTGCATGAGGTCTGTGTGTTTACATGAGTCTGTGCTTGCACAAGTCTGTGTGCTTGCATGAGTCTGTGTGCTTGCATGAGTCTGTGTGCTTGCATGTATCTATACTTGCATGAGTCTGTGTGCTCGCATGTATCTATACTTGCATGAGTCTGTGTGCTCGCATGTATCTGTGCTTGCATGAGTCTGTGTGCTTGCATGTATCTATACTTGCATGAGTCTGTGTGCTCGCATGTATCTGTGCTTGCATGAGTCTGTGTGCTTGCATGTGTAATCTGCTCCATGTGCCCCTGGATTCTGAGCCAGACAAGTCCTATCCATCTAGTGAGGACTACCTCACTGCTGGCTACAGATCTAAGCATGGCTTCTGGCTCTAACAGTAGCTAATTCAATTCAGTGTAATTGGAAAGATTGTGTCTAGATTGACTTGGGTAGCCTTCAGTGGCAGCAGGAGATTGATTCAAATGACCTTGGGTGCTACTCAGCTCTATAAAAGTGGCCTTTTGTAGCTGGTTCCTGCCTCTTCCTGGCTATTCAGTGGCAACCAGTCTTCCCAGCCCCACTGTCTTCTCTCTTTTTTTTTTTCAGATGGAGTCTTGCTCTGTTGTGCAGCTGGAATGCAGTGACTTGATCTCGGCTCACTGCAACTTCCACCTCCTAGGTTCAAGCAGTTCTCCTGCCTCAGCCTCTCAAATAGCTGGGACTGCAAGCGCACGCCACCATGCCCAGCTAATTTTTGTATTTTTAGTATAGACGGGGTTTTACCATGTTGTAAGGATGGTCTCGACCCTTGACCTCGTGATCCACCTGCCTCGGCCTCCCAAAGTGCTGGGATTGCAGGCGTGAGCCACCGCACCCGGCCGTCTTCTCTTTACCTTGCCCTCCTGTCTTACTCCCCTGTCTCTCTTCTCCATCTTTTCTTGCCTGTGGGAGTTGAGTCTAGTATTTACTCTGCCACTGTGGGCAAGACTTTCTTGATATCCCTGCTACAAGCCTTGTCCAGCAGTAAAAAAAAGGCAAAGTCAGAAATACTTCAAAGAGATGTCCGGGCATGGTGGTGCATGTCTGTGGTCCCAGCTACTCAGGAGGCTGAGGCAGGAGAATTATTTGAACCCGGGAGGCTGTAGTGAGCCAAGATAGCACCACTGCACTCCAGCCTGGGTGACAGAGCAGACTGCCTCAAAAATAAAATAGGCTGAGCGCTGTGGCTCACACCTATAATCCCAGCACTTTGGGAGGCAGAATTGGGCAGATCACCTGAGGTCAGGAGTTTAAGACCAGCCTGGTCAACATGGCAAAACCCTATCTCTACTTAAAATACAAAAATTATCCAGGCATGATGGTGTGGACCTGTAATCCCAGCTCCTCAGGAAGCTGAGGCAGGAGATCGCTTGGACCCGGGAGGTGGAAGTTGCAGTGAGCCGAGATCGTGCCACTGTGATCAAGGCTGGGCAATATAGCGAGACTCCATCTCAAATAAATAAAATAGGCCAGGCCTGGTGGCTCACACCTGTAATCCCAGCACTTTGGGGGGCCAAGGTGAGAGAATCCCTTGAGCCCAGGAGTTCAAGACCAGCCTGAGCAATATAGCAAGACTGTCGCTACCAAAAAAACAAAAAATTAGCTGGGTGTGGTGGTGCATGCCTATAGTCCCAGCTACTCAAGAGGCTGAGATGGGAGGATGGCTTGAGCCCAGGAGTTTGAGGCTGCAGTGAGCTGCTATTCCACTGTACTCCAGCCTCTGTGACAGAGACCTTGATTCAAACAAACAAAAGCTAGAAGAAAAAAAGAACAAGGGAAGGAAGAAAGGGACAGAGGGAGGGAAGATAAAAGAAAGAAAAGGAGAAAAAAAGACTGGAGTTCTAGAGGGGAGACCAGAAATTATAGAACCTGGATGGGATACATCTTAATAACCAGCCCACTTCTTCGGAAGGGATAACTGAGATTCAGACGAGAAGAAACTTGCCCAGGTTCACCTAGTAAGAGGCACAACTAGGATAATAATTGGGTGGCCTGAGCCTCATTCGCTGAGAGCTCTTGGCCAACCCCTCATTGCCTCCTTCCCGCAGCGCTCACCCTTCATGTTGCGCATGTGTCTATAGGAGCTCCCAGCACACAGCTTGAATGTTGCTAGCAGCATTGTTTCCTGGCAGATGTGGCAGTGGTGGGGCCGCTGCTGCTGCTGCTTCTCTCAAGAGTGGTTCTTTGTCCTTCTGGAGCCCCTCAAGCTTCACCTCTGAGTGCCGCAGCTGCAGCCTGGACCTGGTGTTCTGTATCTTAAATACCCCCCGCTGAAGGCTGTGCATCATCATCAGGAGATAAAAACGCCATCACTCACTGTGCAAAGGAAAGGGTCAAGGATAGAACGATTGCCTCACACTGCTGCTTTGGCCATTTGTGGAGAGCGTGGGGGGAGGGTGTAGCGGGGAGTGGGGAGGCCAGGGCCAGGCTGGAGAGATGGAGGGGAGAGAAGCAGCAGCCGCTGGGATGGGGGCAATTTAGATGAAGGCACACAGTAGTTCTCAGGAGTTTATAGTACAGATTTCTAGCCCTTGTCGTCAGAAACTCCAGGCTCAGCTGATCTGGAATTGAGGCTCAGAAACCTGCATTAAAAAAGAAGAAAAAACTTCCCTTGGCCAGGCGCAGTGGCTTACACCTGTAATCCCAGCCCTTTGGCTGAGGTAGGCAGATCACTTGAGGTCAGGAGTTGAAGACCAGCCTGGCCAACATGGGAAACACCATCTCTACTAAAAATGCAAAAAATTAGTCAGGTGTGTGGCGTGCACCTGTAGTCCCAGCTACTCGAGAGGCTGAGGCACAAGAATCACCTGAACCCAGGAGGCAGAGGTTGCAGTGAGCCAAGATCGCACGACTGCATTCCAGCCTGGGCAAGAGTGAGACTCCGTCTTCATATGTATATACATACATGCATAAATAACTTCCCAGTGGTTGCAATGCATGTGTTGTGTGTACACACTACACTTTGAGAACCACCGTCTCAGGCGAGTGAACCAGGGTGTTTAACAGGCAGTAGAGACCATCCGGCTGCTGTTCTGGGTGAGGACCCTGAAGTCCAGAGAGTGGAATTGACTTGTTCAAGGTCAAACAGCTGGCTAGGGGCAGGGCCAGAACAACAACCCAAGCCTCTGGCCTTCAGGCCATCTGCACGGTTCCTCCTGCAGTCCCCAGGACACTTGGTATGTTCAGCTGTCCATTTATTTACTCATCCATTTATAGAAACAACCTTTCCGAAAGCCCTGTTCTGAGTGAGGGTTCCTCTTGGGTTTGTGCTGGAGCAAGAATTACCTCTCATGGCTGAGTTGGGGGTGCAGCCTTATCAGCCTATAGTAGTGAGAAGACGTGGGCCTAGGCCATGCCCACACCCTTTCTCACACTTTTCCCCCAGTAGCTTTGGCTGGATGAGCTGAGCTGAGGGTCTTGGTATGTGCAGAAGCTTGGAAAGACAGGGCATCGGGGTATTCACCCTAGTCTTTGCACTTTAGGGGCCCTGTCAGGCTAAGCAAGGCCCTGGGAGTTCTCTGCATTTCCCACTCACCCTCACCCAGGCACAGCACGTGCTGGGCTTGACGGAATCTCTTCCCTTTATGGTGACCTTGAGGCTGCTTTTAAGCCAGATTGATTCACTGGGCAAGAATATTGGGAGTGGAAAGACTTGCACTGGAACTGCCTCTAGCCAGGGCCCTGCTCCCTGTGTGAGGGGGTTCTGTGTCCTCCCACCACCTCAGGGAGGCCGAGGGGAGCCCTAAAAATGGGGAGCAGTACCAGGGCCCCACACACTCGCACTGTCTTCCCCACTCCAGATAGGGTGAAAGGGACAGGATCTGCTCAGAGCCAGGCCTGGCACCTGGAGCCCATACAGAACAGGGGAGTGGTCCTCCTGACCCAATTTCCACCCTGGTGAGGCAGTGGGTGGGGTCCTGGAGCCCAAACAGAACTGGGGAGTCATTCCCCCAACCCCTGATTTCCACCTTCGTGAGGCAGTCGCCGGAATCTTGTGAGCAGAGGCTGCCCGGAGGCACCCAGCCCCTTCCTCAAGTCCTTCTCCTCCGGGAAGCCTTCCTAGACCACTCCCGTCTTCTGGAATGGCTGGTTCCTCCCACCACACCCTTATGGTCAGCTCTGGTCCTGATTTGTTGACTGGTTTGTGTCTGTTTGCTTATCTCTTCTGTGGAATTATCCCCCCAAGGCAGGTGCTGGGTCCACCTCCCCCCTTAAATGCTGCCCCACCCTCAGCCCTCAGCTCCATCAGAGACACAGGGGACTTCTGCTCCTTCTCTATTAAATTTTTCTTTAAATAGAGATCGGGTCTTGCTATGTTGCCTAGGCTGGTCTTGAACTCCTGGGGTCAAGCCATCCCCCTGCCTCGGTCTCCCAAAGTGAGCCACTGCGCCTGGTGTGCTCCTCCTCTATTGAGTGACCAACTGGGAAAGCAGCTAGGGGCGCAGGTACATCCTTAGACTCAGGAAACCTGCCTGAAAGCATTGTTTCCAGCCCTCAGAGAGTCCCCAGGAGGACAGAAGGGCCTCTTCCCCTTGGCCAGCCTGTGCCTAGGCCCTTTCAGAGAGGAGGTGCAGTGGATGGGCTGGGCAGGCCAAGCACCAGCTCCCCCACCTCCTCCCTCTGATCTGGGGCATGTGTCCCTCCCGCACATGTGTGCCTGCAGGCCTGCCTCGGCACGGTGGGGTGGGGGGAGGCGGGAGGCGGTTATTATGGGACATGCCATGCAGATGATCATCAAGGCCCTGCTGCTGCCTTTCTGAGGAGAATTATGGCTATTCTGAGAGGGGAGGAGGTGGGAGGATCCAGCCTATGGCCATGGCTGATGTCAGAGGCTGCCACTGACTCCGGAGGGGGATTGGGAGGTGGTGCTGAGTGACCTCCGCAAGGGCCAAGGCTCTCTTCCTCATTCTTTCCAGGCAGAATGACTTGTTAACTCTTGCCATCCCTCTGAGCAGTAAGGTGGCAAGAGCGGTCTGGGAATTTCCTCTGGTTTTGGACCATCTGTATCTGGCTCTGCTTTTTGATGAGGGCAGAGCTTCCAAGAAAGGAGGCCAGATGGCCACAGTAGACCATGGGGGAGGATAGCCTGGGGCCCTCAGGTGGTGTGGGTGTGCCATGCTGGAGAAGAAGGCCCCAGTCCAGGGGAGAGAGCCAGGGCTTTGGAGCAGACAAGGGGATTCCAATCCCTCCCTTCCTCTCTCCCTCCCTCCCTTCCTCCCTTCCTTCCTTCCTTTCCTTCCTTCCTTCCTTCGTTCCTTCCTTCCTTCCTGCCTTCCTTCCTTCCTTCCTCTCTCCCTTCCTTCCTTTCTTCCTTTCTTTCCTATCTTCTCTCCCTCCCTCCCTCCTTCCCTTTCATCCCGCCCTCCTTTTTCTTCCTTCCTTTCCTCCCTCCCTCCCTTTCTTTCCTCCCTTCTTCCCTCCCTGCCTTCTTCCCTTCCTCTCTCCCTCCCTTTCTTTCCTGCCTCCTTCCCTCCTTGCCTTCTTCCCTTCCTCTCTCCCTCCCTCCCTCCTTTGTTTCTTCTTTCTTCCATTTATTCAACAATCATTTCCAGAATGTCCCTATATGGCTGTAAAGCTAGGATGATATGAATTCAACTATATGACCCAGTATGGACAGTCATAGGGCAGATGAGGTGTTTTGGAAGTAGAGATGATGGAACCCCTAATTCTAGAGGGGAGGGAAGAAGGAGTGTTATGGAAGACTTCTGGAAATTACAATTGAGAGTCAGCTAGGTTTATGGAAGGGATTGAAAATAGAGAGGTGATGGGGCAAGGGTTTCCAAGGTAGAGCAGTTGGCCAGCAGCTTGGAGGAGGCTCTGAGGGCTGTGAGCTGGCTGTCAGGGGAGCTTGGGCCATTCCACGTGGCATGGCTGTGGGGATTGCGGATGTTGGAGGGGTGCGATGAGAGCTGAAGACTGGAAAGAGGAAGAGGTCAGAGTATGTAGGGTGGGAATGGGAGGATTCCTCTTCAGGTTCCCAGGAGGCAGAGGCTGAGGTCGGGGAGGGGGATGAGCTTGTCTGGGCTCCAGCTCAGAGAAGGTGCAAGCAGCTCCTACCTATGGCTTTAGTGCCCTGAGAATGTCAGGCAGAGTTGGGGATGCGTAGGGTTTGTGTTCAAATGACCCCCAGTCATGCTCCCACCTCTAACTTTTTGATTGTTAGCAGCTCAGTTCTTTGTTTTCTTTTCTTTTTGAGACAGTCTTGCTTTGTCACCCAGGCTGGAGTGCAGTAGAACAATCTTGTTTCACTGCCACCTCCACCTCACGGATTCACGTGATTCTTCTGCCTCAGCCTCCTGAGTAGCTGGGATTATAGACATGCGCCACTGTACCTGGCTAATTTTTTGTATGTTTAGTAGAGATGGGGTTTCGCCATGTTGGCCAGGCTTGTCTCGAACTTCTGGCCTCAAGTCATCTGTCCATCACCTTGGCATCCCAAAGTGCTGTTTCTTTAATCTGAACTTTCTTACCTGTAAAATAGGGATATATGCAGAGCATGGTGGCTCATGCCCGTTTTCCCAGCGCTTTGGGAGGCTGAGGCAGGCAGATCACTTGAGGTCAGGAGTTTAATACCAGCCTGGCCAACATGGCGATACCCCATCTCAACTAAAAATACAAAAATTAGGCCGGGCGTGATGACTCATGTCTGTAATCCTAGCACTTTGGGAGGCCAAGGCGGGTGGATCACGAGGTCAAGAAATCGAGACTATCCTGGTCAACATGGTGAAACCCTGTCTCTACTGAAAATACAAAAAATTAGCTGGGCGTGGTGGCGCATACCTGTAATCCCAGCTATTCAGGAGGCTGAGGCAGGAGAATTGCCTGAACCTAGGAGGCAGAGGTTGCGGTGAGCCAAGATCACGCCATTGCACTCCAGCCTGGGTAACAAGAGCGAAACTCCGTCTCAAAAAAAAAAAAAAAAATTAGCTGGGTGTGGTGGTGTGCCCGGTAGTCCTAGCTACTTGGGAGGCTGAGGCAGGAGAATTGTTTGAATTTAGGAGGCAGAGATTGCAGTGAGCTGAGATCATGCCACTGCACTACAGCCTGGGCGACAGTGCAAGACTCAAAAAAAAAAAAATTGCCGGGCATGATGGAGCCCACCTATAATCCCAGTTACTTGAGAGTCTGAGGCACAAGAATCACTTGAACCCAGGAGGTGGAGATTGCAGTGAGACAGGATTGCACCACTGCATGCTAGCCTGGGAAACAAGTGAGACTAAGTCTCAAAAAAAGAAAAGAAAATTGGCCAGGTGTGGTTGCTTATGCCTGTATTCCTAGCGCTTTGGGAGGCCGAAGTGGGTGGATCACCTGAGGTCAGGAGTTCAAGACCAGCCTGGTCATCATGGTGAAACCCCATTTTTAAATATATATATATATATGGATATGCTTTTTATTTTTCGTAGAGATGGGGTCTTGTTATGTTGCCCAAGCTGGTCTCTGTGACCTCCCACCTCAACCTCCCGAAGTATTGATATTACAGATATGAACCACCACACATGATTTTTCTTTTCTTAATCCTCCCAGGTTAGTTATAAGGTTTAAATGAGGTAACAAATAC